TATCGCGTAAGACACATAAAAAAAAACTGTCCAATTGAGATCCAACCCTTTTTTTCAGTTAATAAAAAGCACTTGTGACATATGTCACAAGTTAGATAAAGCTAAGGGTACGATATACAATTCCAAACAAGACAACTTATTAACCTAACGTGCCCTTAACTTAATCAGACTCTGAGGGTCGTATTCTAGAATTCTACTCAATGCTCAAGTCAGGATTGCACTGCAAATACGACCCTAATGACAGGGACTTGAGTATGATTTCGTGTGCTTTAAACCATACTAAAAATTCTGACTTGAGCATTGAGTAGAGTTCTGGAATACGGCCCGTAGTCATTTAACTATTGGGCATGCAATCTTTATACAAGTCTTGTCATTGGCTTGAGTATTGGTACGGATCCTTCGCAATAGGCTTGATTCGTGATTGAGTTCTATGCATATAATAAATATATTGTCTCACTAAATCCTTATTAATGTTGGTTTTGAAGGTGTAGTTTTTAATAGACGGTTTTTGATACGCACTTATTCATTCTTCAAACATATTTAAAGCGCCTGCGGTGTTGGTATGATATAAAAATTGTTTGTCTGTAAAAACCCACGGCAACGCAAAAGTTAGAAAAGGAGCATAACGACTGTTTCGTATTTTAGAAACAAGTTATTAAATTATAAAAGTTATAAAATTCATTGTAAAATATGATATTTATGAGATAATCGGTTTTCAATGCCTCTGTAGACCTAAAGATTTGTTGATTTTCTTTGTAGACCATCTTTTGATACAGTAAAATACGTACACATGGTAAGAATTTATTGGAAATTATACCTCCGTTGTGGATGCATTGGTTTCAGCACTCATTGGTTTGTAGTTATCATTATCGCATCTCCGATCCTCAATTACTAATTGTGAACGTTAATTGGTTGATCGTTTGTCTTTCAGATGTGCTCATGCGCAACTGTACGCCGCCGGCTATCGATGATTTCCCGTCGGGACTGTTCACGGATGTACAGCGGCAGCACGGAGCCATCGTGCTACACGCGTTCATCTCACTGTACCTCTTCATCGCGCTTGCTGTTGTTTGCGATAAATTTTTTGTTCCTGCCGTCGATCGAATATGTCATGGTAGTGTATCTATTTACGTTGTGCTGTTATTATTGCTAAATATAGTCACCAACTCTAACGACCACGTATGAGGAGCGTCGAAACATAAACTGCCAAGTCACAATTCGACTTGTTCTCTTTTTTAATGCCAAACGGTAGTCTTTGTAGAATAGAATAGAATATGTTTTTTTGCCAGAGTACAGTAATGATAAGTCTTAAGTTAAATTAGGTACATTGTATTCAACCTGGAAGCACAAATATTAATAGGATTTCATGTTCGGTCTCTACTGTTAATTGGATTTATTAATGTTGTATTTGAAAATTCTAAGTATTCTTTATTACTATAGAAGCAATGTGTCAAAAGCCATTTTGTAAATTGTAGTTTGACTGTATGTCCTTGCAACAATTTAATTTGGTAAATTATTGAAAACTAATTACACACACGTTGAAACAGTTTTATACATTACTTTATGGCAACGAGAGTGGTACAAAAGATTCATAATTATAGCTCTAGTTCCCATTTGAATCATTTTACCACGTTTTTGAAATATTGAGGATAAGTTTTGACAAATACGCTGATACCCTAACGTACATGCATGGCAAAGGCAGTATGTTTAGTTTTGTGAACAACGGTATACAGCTGTAGTTTCTATGAACAATTTATTTACCTGAACAGCAACCGCCAAGTCCTTAAAAATATGTTTCAGATGCACAGGATCTGAACAAAATGCGACAAATCCATTCAATGAGACTAGACGAAATTTAAACAGAAATTTATTGGCTTTATATCGGTTTTTGTTCCGAAACTCCTTGTATATTATGGCATGTTGATTCACTAAATTTTATTTAAAGGCGTGATTTTCAATTTGTTTTTAACATACGACTTTAGGCTAAACCTTTACAGATCTTGAGTTCTTGAACAAATTACCTCTTTTTGTGCGTCTAGTCTTATATCATTTTAAATACTCTATAATTTCAGCACTAAACATGACGAATGATGTAGCGGGCGCTACATTTATGGCTGCAGCGACGTCTGCGCCGGAATTGTTCGTAAATGTGATCGGCACATTCATCACAGAGGGCGACATCGGTGTCGGGACCATTGTTGGCTCTGCCGTTTTTAATATCCTTGCTGTTGCCGCTTGCTGCGGTATTGGAGCTGGAATGGTTAGTTTAATTTATATTTATAAGTTAAACAATTTCGGAGTTTCTTCTATTTTTATTATAGTAAATTAACTGAACGGTTTGTACTCTTGACACCTTTTGTCTAATCTATGTTAATTTGTTGTCATTTAATGTACATATATAACACAATATAGCAAAAATGTTTCTTCAATCAAGGTTGTTGATTTTTAAGCCCTGTTTGGAGAATCTCTAACTCCCCAGACACAAGTCTTTTACCTGGCTTAGTGGTTGTAAGGTCGTACTTTAACTAAAATTTTGTCTTTTTTTTACCATATTAAATGACGGGACGAACAAGTCGTGCGCCTGATGGTAAGCTACACGTCTATCCATAACAGCTGCAGTATCACTCAGAACTTTAAAACGCAAAGATTTGAGGGGCACTGCCACTGCGCCTGTCGCCCTGAACTATAAAGTCCCATGTGCCTGTAATTTCACCAACACCCTTACCCTTCAAAACCGGAACACAGTAATGCTGACATTACTGTTTGGCGTCAGAAATAGGTAAGGTGGCAGTAATTCCCTGGATGAACAAGGTGCTCTACTGCTACTATTGTTGTCGTACAACCTTGACATTTCTATAAATTGGTGTAATCTGCGTTGCGGTGTATATGTAAGAAATATATAAATTTTGTTTTTATTATTTTGCACGGTGTTCTGGTTTCCTCTTATCACTACTAGGGAAACATTTAAAAAACTTGAATGTCTTGTCTTTTTTTGTCTCATCTTTTACTTAGATAATTGCCAATAATATTATACTTTCACATTATTTTTAACTATTGGTTTTTATTCTTAAGGTGCCTCCAGATTTGCTCGATTTTTGACGATTGTTATTGCCGCTCGATATTGTGTGTTTTGACGATCAACAGGTGCTTACAGATTTCCAAAGTTTTTGACTATCGCATTGCCGCTCAACATTATAGTGTAGGCACTTACGCCTAATTTCAATTACACAGTGTCTGTCGGTAAAAGTAGGTTGTTGCTCATTTGTTCCTTACACATTTACTCGATTTTGTCTGATCACACGTGTCGATTGACAAAAAATAAGATGTCGATTGTCTGTTGTTTACACATTTACTCGTTTTTGTCTGATCGACAAAAAATACGATGTCGATCGTCTGTTGCTTACACATTTCCTCGTTTTATTCGATTATCACGTGTCGATTATCAAAAAATCAAGCTAATCTGTAGGCACCTTAACAATTTTAGGTAGTGCCACTAGACTGGTGGCCGTTGACCCGAGATTGTCTCGCCTACGGCATCACAGTGTCCATTCTGATCTGCATCATGCACGACGAGTACGTGCAGTGGTACGAGGCCTTCCTACTTGTACTCCTTTACGGAGTCTATATTTGCATCATGTACTATGATAAAGCCATCCAGAGTTTTGCAAAAGGTACAGGAAAATATGTTAAATGTGAAACAATTTGTTCTGACTTAATGGTAGACCAATAAATAATTTATAATGTAATAAAAATTACAGGAAGATGGAAATGTATTAGAAGTCTGTGCGGAAAAAATATTGAAAAACAGGATAGTATGGATAACGGTATGTACTTTTCTACAAACAATCAGCTCACATTTGAATAAGATACTAGTACATTTGTATTATTGTATTTCCAGAACCTAAAGACGCTACCAAAAGTGATCAACCGGTGGATCATCATCAGCATAATGGTAATATAAAATTAGCTGTGTCCCCGCATCCCGATGGCCCAGAAAAGACCACCGGTCTGGAGGTTTCTCAGAACGATAAGTTGCAATTGCAAACCAGTGAATGTGGAAAGAGCAAAATTATACAAGTGGACAATGAGTCCAAAAATATTGATATGGAAATAGCTTGCCCAGATGAGAACCAAGCTAACCAAGATGATAACAATAAAGAATCTACAGACGAATATGAACACTCTCTTTGGAAATGGCCTTCTGGTAGAAGTTGGCTTTCAAAAGTAAGCTGAGAAGAAATTTTACAATACAAAAAAACAACTAAATCAACTAAGCAACATTAATCGCTACCTGTTTTTATTTCAGACAACTTGGATTGTTACATGGCCAATTCATCTTATATTCCTCTTTACTATACCCGACTGCGAGAAACCACGATTTAAGAAATGGTTCCCTTTGACTTTTATTATGTGTATTGTTTGGATTGGTTCCCTTTCTTACATGGTAGCTTGGATGATTACTGTCATCGGTAAGTGCAGTATTTATTAAACTATGTAAATAAATTTTATAGTCGCTAGCACAAACAAATGCTTAAAATTGTTGCAATTTTTAGGTGACACACTAATGATACCGGATTCTGTAATGGGAATAACTTTCCTTGCTGCTGGCACGTCAGTACCTGAGGCAGTATCAAGTGTGATTGTTGCTAAACAAGGTATTGAAGTCTGTGTAGTGTGGAAAGTGTAGTGTTTATTGATTTACTACAAGTACATTACACTTTTCGCTCACTCAGTTTAGCCTGGCGTGTGTACCATGCATACTACAGCGTCACTGTATAGAGCTCATTTGTTGCTACATTAATACAATTGCTTCTGAGACGAAATTTGATTTAATTTACAGGCCATGGATCAATGGGAATCAGCAATTCGATTGGGTCGAATACATTCGACATTTTACTTTGCCTCGGCCTACCGTGGCTCATAAAAGCTTCTTTGACGCCTGCCGAACCTGGACATTACTGGGTCAGAACCTATTCCTTTTTTAATACAATACCTAATCATAGTCAAGTAATAATTTATACTACAGTTGCGAATTGTCTCAATAATTGCGTATATATGTAATGCGAATATATAATAATCACTTAGCTAAGCGAAAGTAACTGATTTTTTAATCTATATAATTGGAATATCAGTCGTGTACACGTGTTAGCATTTGATTTGACATAATGAAATTTAATTTTGTCTGCAGGTGAAAATAAACTCAATGGGTCTGGAATATTCGGCGATATCGTTATTGTCGACGCTTCTAATGCTGTATTTGACGTTTTGGTTTAACAAGTTCAAGTTAGATGCGGCGGTGGGGCGCGCCTGTCTCGCCATGTACGCTGTTTTCCTGGTTCTTGCCACACTCATAGAGCTTAATGTATTCTTCCCTGTCAACGTGCGTACATGCAAAAGAACGGTACCAAAATCCTAGACTGGTCTCTGGACCTTACATGACGTTAAGTGTGAGAATTCCGAAAATGGTGCCTCTTGTAAACTGGTTCATCATATGGGTTGAAATTAATAATTTTGTGCCACATGCGTTCTCCGTTAAATCAGCTAGCGTCGATTTAAGCTTTGATAAGTATAGATAAAAAACATTACCCTACCTCGACAGATGTACTGGTACTTGCAACTCCAAAACTGGTAATTGCAACGTCTCTGCTCTGTTTTGTACATTTTTAACTTCTTGTATTGCTAAGTTTAATCCTAACAAGTGAATCTCCGATAGAATCTCACTTGTATAAATCCCTCTAATGCAAGGGTACCCCCTCTTTTACAAGTAGTTAGCTCTGCATTTCAACGATTACTGTGAAGAATGTCAGGTGACGAGTTTATTGTAAATACATAATGTGCTACGTAATGTAACAGAGTTTAAGAGTAATTAAATATATAGATTTTTATTTCTTAACTTTGGTTTATTTTAAATTTAACAAAAATTACAATGCAACTTACGTACTAACAAAATACTTTTAACAACAACAAATAAAATTTAGCCTATTGGATGGCTTCATTCTGGGTCTAGACAGACCTTCACCACTGTGATCATTAATTAACCTAACCTATACTTAGGTATCGCAAACGAAATTCATAAATTGTTGTTTCTTTGAGTCACGTGATCTCTATCTCGACTGTTTCTTTTCTGTAATAAAAAATGAAAACCCTTTGTTTTAAAATAATTATACCTTTTTTTATTAAAAAAACTGACCTCAAAAATTTGTGGAATAGCATCTGTTTGCCAAGTTTTATTCAAATTGGTTAACGGAAAGTGAGTAAAATCCACCAATTGTCACTCTTAGAGGTGTTATATTTTCTTCAAATTTGAATGAGACCACTACTGAGGTACCCCTTTCCAACAAAAAAGAACACCTAATCGAAATCAGTTCACAAATGTCGGGGTAATCGCGTAACATATATACACAACAAAATACAGTCGAATTGAGAACCACCACTTTTTTTGAAGTCGGTTAATAAAAAGTTATTTTCAATCCTTTTACTAAAAAATAAAAATATTTTTAGGAAAATGAAATTAAATTAATACAATTAACAAAATGTCCGTATATTTAGAAACATTACGTCTAAGGTACCCTTGGTACATCGAGTATATAACCATCATATACTCGATGCCTTGGTATGATAAAGCGACAAGATCATTATTATGTCAAAAGTGCTTTTGTTACATGAAACTCATAAAAATAATATGAACTACACATGAAACAGATTAAGTATATGTGAAATGTTGTATCTCTCCTATTGAAGCATAAAAAAGTTATCAACTAATTTCATTCGTAGCATATTTAAACACTCTCCTGAAGGGTCAATTTTTATTGCGGCGAAACGGAATGGAACGGAAGCGTCAATTTCGACTCGCTGCGCGAGAATGCTCGGGCATTCGTGAGTTTTCTCGCGACTACGCCTTGAGTAATACGTCGACGTTTGATTGCGCTGCGCCTGTCTTTGCACCATTTCCCGCGTTTTCGCCAGGCGTCGCCGAACGGCTGCTGCGGAATACTCGCGAATGCGTGAAGACGCACGGCGCGATTTACACAATTGACCATAAAGTTCATTAGGCTATGTAAAAATTCGCTTCCATTTTAAATTTAGCCGAAAAGTTGTTCTTTTGTGGCTTTATTATGAGTATGTGACTTCGGAAGAGAACAAAATAATGAGTTTAAAATATTATTACCTACTTAATAGCCTTTTTAGTATCTATATTTGATACTTGTATACTTTTGATCAGTCAGGTTCTTATCATTTTAACAAATTTGTTTTATATTGTTCCTTTCCATGCTTATAACGTAATAATTAATATTTTGTTAGCAAAGCGACACTGTTGTTACATGGCAAAGAGTACAAATCTGTCGCTCAGTTACATTATGGATTATGGTGGATACCTATATTGGTTTTCCTACCGTCTCTCAAGCAGAAGGCCGAGGATTGGAATTTTTCGGAATTTCTGTGGGAAATTTAATATACCATGAGCTTTTCGGTGAAGGAAAATGTCGCGAGGAAACCTACCCATGTATGCAAAACAATTTATTGACGTGAGTGAAATTCCCAATACCGCATTAGGCTCGCCGGGGAACTGCAGCCAAGACCTTCCATTGTGAGAGGAGACCAGTGCCCAGCAGTGGAATACATAGGTTAACTATTTTATTGACATCTGTAGGGCTAGCACAACAGGACGCGACTTGCGCGAGCGACATAAAGCACGAGATACCTACTTCATTAATTGTACCTCAATGGAATAAACTGCTCATGTTTTGTGTTTAAAGTTATATACGTGCTTGTTTCATTAAATATTTTAGTGTGAATCTGTGACGACTACTATGTTCCGTGTCACGTGTGTTCTTTTGCCGGATCCGCTGAAAATCAGCGTCGTAGCACTTTAAGTGAGACGGCAACATGCTGAGTGGGTCACGGTTTCCTTGGCAGCACAGCACACACGCTTTGTATTGTATATATGTATGAATTTAGTTCCAAATTCTTGTTGTTTTTTTTATATTAATTTCTTTGCGCTTTATGTAGCTCTCGCGCAAGTCGCGCCCTTTCGAGCCAGCCCAACTGAAATAGGCTGTTGGAGGTAAATAAAAAAATGTAATAATAAATAAGTAACGTAATTACTCGTCAAAAATTACCCTGCATTACCTTCAGATTGACATCCACTTCGTGTGCGTTGTCTATCGTTAATTATATAACCCTCACAGGATTACGACGATATCTCATAATATTCAATCAGACAGGAATACTTGCATACGGACATGCCAAAATGTATACTGTTTTTTTTGTTCTGTTCGTATTTAATCTCAGTACAGAGTACTAAAAAAGCCGACCTTAAAAGTACGTGGTATTACGTCTATTTGCTAAGTTTCATTGAAATATCCCCTAGTTCGCCACTACACAGGACTTGATACTGGAGATAATAAAAATAGGTTCTCACTACGACACTACTCAAAGTATTTCGAGAGAAAAACGCCTTGAATTGGAGAAATAGCAAAATCAACTAAATAATTGCTAAAAGTAATTGCTCCTAAATTAAAGTTAGGCGCTATTTATAAAAATGAATCTTCATGCTGAACAGCCACCCTTTGAGGTGGATGATTTTCTTCAAAATGAAATGGGACCACTATGGAAGTACCCCCTTTCCAACAAAAAAAGAATCATGAAAATCGGTTCACAAATACCGGAGTTATCGCGTAACATACATACAAAAAAAAAAAGAAAAAAAAGAACATATAGTCGAATTGAGAAGCTCCTCCTTTTTTGAAGTCGGTTAAAAAGGACAGGCTGTGTAAAATGTATACAGTGCAACTGTTTTCGTAATAGCTCTCGGCAATCTTCGGATTTCCGAATGCACGCGTATATAAATTTCCTTGTAGATTTATCTCATCTATTATAATTTGAATTCAGAACTACGTAAGCTTTATTATTGTTTTTATTTTGATTTACATGTGAACTAAATAGAGCCGTAAAACTATTTATACAGTTGCTCAAAACGTGGTATTTTTTTGTACTACAAATGGTGCCGAAAGTTGGATTTTTCGCCCTAGTGCTTTTTACTTTTCCATTTTTTTTTTATTTACTGTTGTTTCAAGTCTTAAACATGGAACTAAAGAGTTTATATATATATATATATATATATATGTATTGTATATTTATTTAATATTTATATGCTTTGTGACGTAAGCCATTCGTCATTAATACTTATATTTACTTACAAACATCTTATTTGTTTAAATTGCATAGGTGTTTTGTAAAACAACGGGTTACATTTAAAAATACCAACATATTTTCCATAAAGATGGCTGATTGAGTATTAATAATGACCGGAGGCGAGTATTACGCGAGACCGCTGCGCGCCGCGCCACTAACAGTAATTTTGATGTGGCTGAATACTGGTAACAGTTGCCATTGTACTCTGAATTTTTATCAGGCAAAGAAATAAAATGAGTTTTTTTTTAAATACTGTTTTATTTTACTTTCAATGCAACTGCATGTGTTTCGTAAATGTATTAAAAAACGTCGTTTGATACACGTGCGGATTTGTCATTTTCACTTGTCTCGAGTCTTGACCCTCGTCTCTGGCTCGGGCCAAGAAGCCTCCAGTCACGTGAATAATGACTAACTTTCCGCACTTGTATCAAAAATAACTATTCACTATTTATAAAACTACAGCAAGTCTCTAAATAGTAAATATTGTAACAGACAGTAATTGCAATACTGTGATTACCACAGTCTATATTTATAACTAATTTTCAATATATATATTATTTTTTTATAATATCAAGTGACGGGACGAATAATTCGTGCGCCTAGTTGTAAGTGGCATTCTGTACAAGAGTTAGAGTGCCACTCAGAGTAAATCGCAAAGATCACCCTGAGACATAATTTGACAAGTCCCATGTGCCTGTAATTTCACCAGCACCCTTACCCTTCCAAACCGGAACGCAGTAATGCTTACCTTACTTGCAGAAATATAGAAAATAATATTATAATATTGCGAAAATAAAGAATGGTAGCTGAGTGCGTCTCATCTACACCAAAATCCGACGACAGTCGAAACACGAAGATTGCCGAGATTTAATATGAAATAGTTGTACTGTACCTTATTTTAGACTTCGTAGTAAATGGTCAGGTATATAAAGTATAGACCGTGTTTCCTGCGCCCACGCCCGCTGCCGCAACGCGTGCGCGAAGCTCGTTGATCTCGCGCGCGTGCAGTTCGATGTCGTGCTGCGTGAACCGCGGCCGCTGGCAAAGCGGGTGCTGCTCCGGCAGCCAGCGGTGGATAATAGGGGTCATCAGGTCGCGGTGCACCTGACAAGCATATACCTTACAAGTCTGAAACACTTACAACGAAACTTTGCCAATGACTAATATTAATTTATCACGCATTTATTTATTTAATCTTTTTGTACAATACAATAATGTACAAATGGCGGACTTAGTGCTATACCAGTCAACTATTGGGCCAAACAGAAAAAATGTCATAAGCCAAAATTTTATGTTTAATTAATTTATACGGTATAAAATAAACATAATACAGTATAACATACTTAATATAATAAATATATCTAATATATTATATATATTATTATACATAATATTATTTATAATAATATATAAGTACCCACAGCTACATTATACAGAATCATGATGTAGAAGATTGTCAAAAAGATAACTGCGCAACATGCGCTTGAAAAAGATAACTAAGGCTCAACTCACACTGGCGCAGAGTCAAAGCGTTGCGTCCTGTTTTTCAACTACAACGCATGGCGACACGCGTCGTCGCGCGACGACGCTTGCATTGACGCGCACGGATTACAGTACGGTCGGCATTTGACGCGTGAAACAGCTCGACGTTAACCAAGTGTCGACGCGAGAAGGCGAAATTCCATATTCGTATACCACAAATGTGTACCTTTATCATTGGAAAACAGAGATGAATATGCTATAGGCGAAAAACATGACGCGTCGGGACACGCTTCGACTCTGCGCTAGTGTGAGTTGCGAGCGGGAGCGCGTTCCAATGACGTATTACGTAAAGGGCGAAAGAATTAGATACAAAGCCAGTACCGTGAGAAAGAATAGAGAGCACTTATTGTTTCCTAATTTTGAGAAAACTTAGAAAATATCTCTTTATGAAGAATCTCACCATAGCTGGGTCATTAGGTTGCGTGAAATATGAAACGATGGCACCAACCAGGATCGATACTATCACTCCAACCAACGTGTAATATAAATAGCTCAATCTATACAGGAAGAATGTTCCGGAACTGAAAATTGCAATTGTTGAATGCTCAAATCTTCTTGTACACCACTACAATCATTATCATTCAAATAAAAAAAACATGACTTTGTGCAATAATTAGGTACATTAATTCATCATCTTTAGTACAATAAGCAGGCTCATTATACTTACTTACCGATCAAATTCTACGGTACTGTGTGGTGTAGAAGTAGTCGTTGTAAAAGAGAAGTTGCCTGGGCAGCCTTCAATTGATGTGGGTTTCGGTATTATTACTATTTCCCCTCGCATCATTGCTGCTTGTGTTCCAAGCGAAATCCATCCTACGAATAGGGTGGAGCATATACCACCTACCAGAGCACCCTGTAATAAAAATTTCTTATCATCATCAACCCATTTACTACGCCTCACTGGGTACGGGTGTCTTTTCAGGCGAGGGTTTAATTCCAATAGCCACAGCCTCCAAGCTTCCTGGCGCAATGCAGGTTGCCGACTTCACACAGTTTTGTGAGGGTAATCAACTTTCTTCGCCGTCTACGTTTTTCTTCACCGAAAAGCCCATGGTAAATTTTAAATTGAATTTCGCTTAAATTCCGGAAAACTCAAAGGCGGATTCGAACCCACGGCAGTTGCTAGTGGTAGTATGATGATTTGAGGAGTTAGGTCAAACCTTAAAACAATCTTAATTTTTGTAAAAATATCATTATTTAGTCAATAGCGTCAACTCACTGTTGCGTTTATCCAAGGCAGAAATAGGCCCATCGAAAATAGCCCTAGAAGACTACCAGCTGTGATTCCCGCCAAACTTTTTCCAGCTTGTATTAAAGCACCCATGTGTTCTACAAGAAACACCAGCGCCACACAAATTGCTCCTGTATATGACAATAAGAACTCTTGGTAATATATGTTTATGTTATAATTGAGTTGATGGCCTACATGAGACGTACTAGTGGTCGACGACCCGTTGGTCGGCCCATTTGGGCCGATGGAGAGATGAAATAGGGAAAGCCGTTCACGCCCTCTATGTAGAGAACTAGGAGGAGATCGCACAAGACAGGGTTCGCAGGTACTAACTCGTAATGGCCAAATATATGAGGCCAAAGCCCACTTCGGCTCGCTGAGTCAGCAGAGTAAGTAAATAATTAATTGCGTTAATAAATTATTCCAATTATGCATTATTAAAAAAATATTTCCAATTCTACAGACCAATTACAACGACGATAACTTTCATTATAAAACTGGCAGTTTTCTCCGATATTGGTTTGTTATACGCAGGCCTGATGAGGTCCTCAAAAATCACTCCACACAATGAATTCAATCCGGTGGACATGGAGCTGAAAATTTAGTCTAGTAAGAGATATGGTATTTTCACTGCTTTGGCGTGACATCGAGTGCATCTCACCGGAATTGTACCTCAATGCCGCGCTGAAGACACCACTCATGAAGATGCCGGGAAGCGCTGGTATTGAACCGGTTATAGTCATAACAAAGTACGGCAGTAATTGATCGTTTTTCCTAATAGCTCCAGTAGTAAGAGGATCGCATGTGGCAAACGTAGCGTAAATAACAAGTCCCGTGTAACAACAGAGCGAAACTAGGATAAAGATACCTCCTGCCATTATAAATACAGTACTGTAAAAAACAAATGACACGGATGATTAGCGAATGGAAAACAATATGAAGTAGAAAATAACTCTAAAATATAATTAATCATTTCTTCCCTTGACAGAGCAAAGTATCGTCAAGGAACCAGTTTTCGAAGAGTTTGCAAACTAATTTAAAGTCAAGTATCACTTATGTACGTATTTGGAATAATTCCGGCTATTTTTATTTTATAACATCAAGTGACGGGACGAACAAGTCGTGCGCCTGATGGTAAGCTACACGCTTGTCCATAACAATTACAGTATCACTCAGAGCTTTAAATCACAAAAATCTGAGGGGCACTGCCACTGCGCCCGACACCCTGAGACATAAGTTGATAAGTCCCATGTGCTCGTAATTTCACCAGCACCCTTTACCCTTCAAAACCGGAACACAGTGATGCTGACATTACTGCTTGGCAGCAGAAATAGGTAAGGTGGCTGTACTTCCCTGGACGAACTCTTTCACAAGGAGCTCTACTGCTACTAGGTATCAGCTGTATTAATACTTATTTACTAAATACTCATTAGTAAGATTAACAAAAAAGATTCGAAATTCTTATTAAAATATGACGGGAATAAGATATACTTCATTAAAGTTGAGAAGAATATTCCCGATGTTCTTACAAATACCTAATAGGCAATTAGGATTGTCGACTAAATTCGTCAAAATATTCGCAAATGATATTATGCACAGACATTTTTATTTTCTTACTTATCACGTAAGTAATTTATTTTTGTAATTTAGTACCTACTTCACGGAATTAGGCAATAGGCTTATTACACCTTTACAGCTAAGTAAATTATTAGTAACATACGCACATTCTGGCTCTTTTCAAAGAAGACAAAGCAAGACATCTTTGTACCATGGCTTGATTGACTGAACAAGATGCAAGCCATGCAAAATAATTTCCAATCACTGTTGACCAAAACGTATGACGAATTGTTAGATCTGGGTCCATGCTGAAAAGTTATTGAACTAGATAACATTGGTTTACAAATTACTCATGATATTAAATTAGATCCTTGTTTACTTAAAAAACTCCAGTCGATCACCCTCTTTGTTTATGTTGATGACGTTGCCTATTCCACCCAGACGCCATGTTCCATACGCTAGTACAAATACAACACCAAAGTACATAAGGACAGTTTGCAGAGTGTCCGTCCATACTACAGCTTTCAGTCCTCCCTGAAATCACACGTTCAATCATGCATAAATATGGATGGAATAATTCATGTTAGTATCTTCTTTGCATCACGTCGATTGGCAAATCCTTTTGCCATGATGGCAAGCATTACAGTGTATGCCATTGATACGATAACATCAAAAAGTAGCACTACAGACTATCTTCAGTGGCCCACAATGACGTTTACCCTGTGCAGAGCTCCTTGTTTTCACAAGGAGCTCTGTGCAGCACTTTCCTGGACGAGTACGTCCAGAAAAGTACTGCTACCAGAGCATACTGTGTCCCGGTTTTGAAGGGTAAGGACTGCGGTGAAACTACAGGCACATACGACTTGTCAACTTCATGTCTCAAGGTGACATGCGCAGTGGCAGTGCCCCGTAGATTTTGGCAATTTAAAGCTCTGATGGCGCTGAAACTGCCATGGATAGCCAGCCGCCTTGTTTGTCCTGTCACTTGATGTCATAAAAAAATCTCTTCTAGGTGCAAGCAGAGCGCAAATTGGTTAGGTGTACACTTTGTCGGCGGCTGATTTACTTGACCTCCACGTGGAGTGAATTAAGATGATTCTCAAAACCGGGTACAGCAATTTGTCCGTCACTGTGGGGGGATAGAATTAGGTCAATAGAATAATAATGCGTATTTTACTTAGCTATTATAGTACTCACTAGAGTTGTATAAAATATGCACACAATGCACACAATGGGGGTGATGTAGTGCAAATTGATGCCAGTAACTGGAAAATATACAAATATTTACAAAACATGAATAAATTATTATTTGAATCAATTTTACGCTGATAATTTTTTAGACTAGTTGTACCTTGACTGAAGGCCAAAGCTGGGACGTAAATAACTATCGGTATGTAGAGCATCATTTTGATGATAAATATGATGGATCCCAACAAACGTACGTTTTGGTTAAATCTAAGCTTCAGGTACTGAAAATTAACAAAAATAAAGTACAAAGCATTCGTAAATTAGTGTTATACAAGTGAATAGGGGATATATTGTAATTTTATGTACAACAGTGTGGAAAATGAGACACTGCCTCAGTGACCGAACGGTTACCATGCTGGTCTGCCACGCAGAGGTCTAGGGTTCGATTCCCGGGCTGGGAAAAATATTTATATGGCCTACATTTATTTCTCTCGTGAGTTTGGGTGTAATATGTGGTTGTCTACGCGTGTCTCCATTGCACACGCGATACTCTGTTTCCCTAGTGCATGAATCTGGGCGTTATTTATACTCTAGGTATTTGAACACATTCGCTAACTATGCTAGCTGTATATTGTATTAAATTCATACGGCGGGTATCATACTAAAAAGAGTTGTTCTGCCCTCCTTGTCACAATTAACGCATTTGCATTTTGGTAATTTTCGAGACAATTAGCTCCTAAAGTTTATTTCTTTGAAAAAAGTCGCTTTCGCTTATTTTGCATAACAATAAAACAGAAACTAAATAAGATATTTAAAAAAATCCTCTTATATGGGGTTGTAGATCTCGCTATGTTGATTCCAGATATGTCAATAACTCAATATGGCCAAATATGTCGATTACGTTAGTTATAAGGTAAGTGGTACTGTCAGCAACATCGACGCGTTTGGGATTTTTTTGCGTGCAGGCAACGGCGGTCAGTAGCAGCCTTCCGCAGTTTGCTGGTTCTGGTCAATCAACGATGTTCATGGGCTAGAGCATACTTTCCCAAAGTAGACCCTACCGCCCCCCGTGGGCGCTGACGAGTCAGTCCTAAGGGGGCGGCAGAGGCATCGGAAGCAATTGACACAAAGCAATTGAACAACTTTGAGGGAAAAAGAGAACTTTGGGAAACTGTGGGCTAAAGCATATTTTCATTATAAACAAAAATATTTTACCTTAAAAAAGGTTAATAAAATAAGGCTACAATCATCGTTTCAATCTTTGCTGATAGTACCCAATATATAATAAATACGTCTGCCAATTTACCTCGTATGTCGATGTTATTTGTAAGTTGTAAAACACGGGCAGGTAAATAACAGCAATTGTAAGTGAGACCGCCCACTCAGACAACACTGCAGACCACAGCTGAGTGCCATAAGTATACATTTCAGCCGGAATGCCCAGTAATGATATTCCAGAAATATAACTGAAATGCATGTTTACTTTTGAAAGAACGAATAATACTTGTCAAATAAAAATGAATAGAATATTTGAAATTAATACCTGGCTATCAAAGACATCGAAATGGGAAACATTCCCATTGTTTTTCCGCCCATTAGGTACTCCGCCGTGGTGTTTTGCTTCTGTTTAGCGAAGAATGCGTAGTAAACCCCGATGAGCACTGAAAGGAAGAGCATCATCCCGAACACGAGATAGTCCAACCAGTCGAAGTATACCACCGTCATGCTGAGATTCGTTAGCCGAGCACAGTGTCAATTCGCGCGTCCGTCTACACCGACACTTAAACTCCATCTCGGTATACAATAGGCATTTACTAAGCGGAACTGGCAGCTGGGACGATTCTATATTTATCTTTTGAAGGATCTGGTGATACGGCCCACAGCACAGGAGGGATAAGGTTGACTAATTTTCCTGTTAACGGTCCAAACTGGACTCGCTGAGCTCGTTATCTTGCACACAATGCGGTGCCTACATAGCTTCTCAGTAACATTGTTATGAGTATTTTTATAAATAAAACTTCATGGAGTGTTTTCTTTGTTTATATTTATTCTGGCTTAAACATTGATTCATACCTCATGTACCTAACTACGCTGTGCTCGCTCGACAATGAAATGTGCATATAATCATTGAAAACCTATGTCTATGATATGATGAATGAAAACCAGTTAAACACGATCTACAGACTGACACAGAAGAGTGTAGTTATATTTTGGGCTATTAATGTGTACTGAACAACTTTAGCCAGAAACAATACTTCCAAAAATAAGTTTTCGTATTTCCAGTGACGACAAATTTGATAGGAAGTTGTAGTATTTTATTCAAATGAAAACATATTTCAGGCTTAAGTTTGTCAGTCTGATAAACTATAACTACACTATCATGTTAAGATTTTTAATTTAACTTTGTACCAATCCATACAGGTACTCTCATTGTAAACACTGCTATTTTTATACACATAAATACCTACACAAATATAGTGAATTATATTATTTAAAAAGTGATTTTCCACAATGATATGACACAGAAATCGTTTATTGAACATTTAAGAGTGTATTAAATTTTAGGAATAAGATTTTTACAGTTAGGTAGGTATTTACAGACAGGATACAGTCGAAGTAGTAAAAAAATACGTCTAATGATACTGGAAAACTTACGTGTAATTATTACCTTTAACACAGAATATTACGTAAATTTATTGAAACTATTTACGATCCCAAAATGACTAAGTAGTATCTCTAACAACTGTGCGAACACAATCTATAGTATGCCTAAAGATATATATTTAATTTGAAATATTACATTGATAATACATTTTCCAGAACGAACATCAATAGAGTAAACAATTCGTTGCGTTTCAAAAACTGTGGCTCAAACAAAACAGACAATTTTTCTAGTTGTTATATAGCTGCATTCAGAATGTCCTAATATTATGAATAAGTAAGATACTGAACACATATTGCGTTCGTATCCTTCTCTATATCGGGGAACAAAAGGCATAAAAATCGCACTACGTATATCGATACGTCCGGAAAAAAAGGGCGTAAAAAGACAGTACAAAGTTTATAAGATGAATGAAAAACGAAATTTATAAACGTGTTGGTGTTGGTTCATATATGAACCAAAATTATTGGGTTTTCATTCAATTTTATCACAAGTTATTGGTGTGGAGTTGAGTTAAATTGTCCTGTTTCTTCGGTCTGTGTACTCAAAGTATAACTTAAACATACAAGTAAAATAAAAAACCATTTTTGACGAATAAGTAAACTTCCAAAGTGTACGTAAATACAAAGGCGTTATTGATATGGGGTTGAGTTAAAGTTTCCTGTTTCTTTGTGTAGGTACTCAAAGTTTTAATCATTCGCCAAAAATGGTTTTTATATGTAAACATACAAATAAAATTAAAAACTTTTTCAATTTTATTTGTATGTTAACATATAAAAACCATTTTTGATAATTAAACTTTGAGTACACAGAACGAGGAAAGAGGAAACTTTAACTCAACTCCATGTCAATAATGCATTTGTGTTAAAATTTACTTTGACGCCCTTTCTACTCCGCAGTATCGAATTATGGGTGCTTCGTTTTATTTTGAAAAAAAAAAACATTCAAATCATCTTCCTAATGATGGAGACAAACTATTCGAGAAAAACACCGAATTATCCGAAAATGACCTTTATGTACTTAACATCAGGTAAGTTACTTTTACATTACTTAACATAAATGTACAACTAGATCCATTCAAAACAGGTACTGGACTCTGAAAACATTGATAACATTTTATAATACTAATGTATAAATAGATATAATAACTATTAACTACCACTCCATACTGCAAATACCAATTACCTGAACTACGGTTTGTTGCGATTAACTGCTATTAATAACCTGCGTGAATAACACGAAAGTGCCTACGACAATGAAGATGAAAGAAAATTCCGCATAAACAGCTGTCGTCGCTGCAAAGTAAATATGAATAATAAGCATTTTCCCCTAAAAATAACTTTCTTACTGCTTACACTTCTTGGCATTTTTATTCCAAAGTAAAGCACCTTTTTTGTTACAATGCAATCACAATTTAAATTTTACATCGTTTTCGATTGCATTATCTACCAAGAATAGTTACATTCTCTCTATACACTTGCAAGTCATACCCGTCAAGAATAATGAAATGCCTTCTCTGTACATTACATAGTGCTTCCATTGCCTAGTTCATTTCAAAGTGAATTGTGAAGCAATACTGTCAAATACGTCTGTAAAATACGTCTTCAAGAAAACAGGGCAGCCCCCGCAAATATAATAAAACTATAGGTCGATTTTGTACCGAGGCGTGTGTGATTACACTAAAGAGGTGACTTCAAGCGTGCAAGTGAATGTTTAAGCCAGGGCATCAAAATCTCCGAAGGAAAATGCATCTCGAAAGAAGCAGGATCTGTTTTAAGAAAACATTTTATATAAAAAGACTCAACTTCTTCGTTAGTAAAGTCGAAAGGAATCGTTTTGAACGACAGTTACATTAGGTAAAGTGACCTCTACGTGACATCTAAAAAGGTAAGAACTCGTGTTATTTGAAGACCCTAAAACGCACCGGTACGACATTGAAAGTTAAGCCGAATTTACATTTGTGTGACTGACGTGTCGTGACGCGTCAGAATGATATTGGTTTCATAAATTTAGTATACGCCGGATTTACATTTGTCTGACGTGTCGTGTCGTGACGCGTCAGAACGGTATCAGCTTCATACACACAACACAAGCCGTTACGTCAGATTGCGGCACACTAATATAAATCTAACCATATTAAATGTTTGAAACCGATACCGTTCTGACGCGTGACGACACGACACGTCAGGCATATGTAAATCCGGTTAACCGATACCATTATGACGCGTCACGACACGACACGTCAGACAAATGTAAATCAGCCTTTACGCCTCACTACCTACTTATTTCTACCTAGAAATTGTGACTACCTCACTACGAAAATAGACAGATTAATTGTGATTTTCATCTCAGCAACATGGCCGTCCGTAAAATGTTTTAGCTACTTTAATTCCATTTGCGAGTTGGTCGCACAAGATGACATACCTACACTTAAGCTATTCAATATCTACCATGAATAATAAAATCTACAACATAGACTGCCACTTTTCACGTTACAGAAACCATCATTGAAGTTGGCCTTAAGAGTCGATATTACCTCAGCTCGTTCAATTCAAATTTTTCCCGTACTAATACGGTTCATTTTGCTATGTCTAGCAGCAGGGACAATGGTTTTATTTCAAAATTTATTTTTTAAACAAACGAAATTGAAGCCATTTCAAAAGTGCATATCGTAAACTATAGGTACGTGTTCTATTTAGTTCGGTTGATATAAAAAATATTTTGGTATATGTAAAGTACGTATTAAACACAGTGGTTTTCTTGTAATATTTCGAGGTAAGTTTGTGTTTTGTTTTTATCGAGTAAATTTTTAGGAATCATGTTTTCACACCGTATAATAATCAGTGTATATCATCAATTTTACTATATATTTTTTCCATAGTGATTTATTCAACACTTTCACTGTTATGCGGAATCAACCAAAGCCATTTTAGGTAGTACAGACTCTTAAAGAGAAAGTTACAAAAAAATATATGAACCTTTCTTGCGGCTTCGTAATATGAATTACTTAGCTATCTGAATCTTGTTTAACGTTTCGGTCGTATGGTTGTATAAAGTCGATCGTGTTACGTACGTAATTCCAGGGTTTTTTTTATAGGTCTGCAGGGGAGGCGAGGTCAAGGCGGGAACGCCTGCGGTCCCTGCCGATCCCGATGGACAGCTGGCCCGAAGAGGAGCGCTGTAACGACGACGATCGTGGACGCGCCGTTTCCGATTTGGACTTCTTCACCTTGCTTCCTCCAGTAGCGGGCTGTTTGCCTTTCAGTGAGGACACCGACACTACCACGTCTGTGGATACTCCATCTTGTTCTAAAAAATGATCATTGGAAAATAAGGCGAGTGTTGCAACGCCTAAAAAGCCTGCGTTAAACCTAAGTACACTCATCAAAAGTGCCTAGGGGTCAAGCATGTTTTTGCCACTCACTGAAAAACAAGTTTGGTCGAATATTTATATTAAGCCAATGGATTTTTTCTGGTCAATTTTATAATTTGAATTTGAAAATGAAATTGACAAAAAAATGTATTGCTGAGTGAAGAAATTGATTTCTCACAGTGGCCAAAAGTCATTAAAACCAAAAACAAATTAAACAAAAAAAAAATTCGTTCCGTGGCTTAGTTGGCGTAGCGTCTGGCACAGTTTGCTGGAAGACGTTGGTTCGAATCCAGTCGGATCGAAGGATTTTTTTCTAAGAGTTAGGTTAGATAGATCTTTGTATTAATAATTATAAAAAACTAGTAGAGTAATTTCATAAAAATAATTGAATATCATGGTGGTCAAACATCGTGAGATTCAATCAACTTACAAACCCATTGGTGTTAAAAAAATCTTTAAAAGAACCAAATTTTCGGTAATTAGCAAAAATGTGCTTGATTCCTAGACACCCTAGTGATGTTTATAGTTTCCTGTTAGTTAAACAAATCAACCCACCAGTACGTTTGATAACTTCACCAGCGTTGTTCAAGAAGAATTTTGGTTTGGATTCCTTAAGTGATTCCTATAAAGGAAAAAAATATTAACTCACACAACACATTTGTAATTTAATAATATTTTTGTGAATGTGATATGCTTGCCTTCGATTTACTAGATTTGGAAGCAGAGTCAGTGCTTCCGCGCCACCACGGTCACTGAATCTCACAAAAGCCCCGCCCGGACTCCTTACCGGGGGTAGAAATCTCACCGTCGGCGGCGGCGCCTTCGCCCTCCGGCTTTGGTGATCCTGCACCGGACGAGGTAGCGCCTCTGTGCAACACAGGTTTTACTATGAAAATCTACTTTAGTAAATCGAATGTGACGAAAGTGTTCTTCGCTCCGATTAGTGGCGTGGAGCGCCATGACTCAAGTATTGTTGTACCACAGGATAGGTTTTGAACAACGGTTCGGGTGGTCCGGAAGTGATGGCCGAAACGAGGAGGTTGAGTATATCCAATCGATTTGACAGTTTTTTTAATGGTCAAAGGCAAAGTCAAAATCAAATAATAATTTATTCCATAGGTAAAATTTTTACACCTGAAAACGTAATTTTTAAGCTACTGCTCGTTCACTGCGCTGACGTCTCTGAGAAGAATACGGAACAATATGGTCTGTGGAAAAGTACGAGCAAGAAACTCTTGGAATTGCTTTTACAAGTAAACTTAAATGCAATGGAATACAAATCGAATCATAATCATGAGGAATCTAGACTCATGTTGTCTTTCCAAACACCTTTATCTAACCTATAGGTACTCTTCAATTTTGTAATGTGACTTTTCAATTAAAATGCTTTTAAGGTAAGTTTTAAACTTAGGAAATGACAATGATAATCTTAATATATGCTCCGGAATCTTATTGTAAAATCGCCATAAAAGTATCGCTTACCTTAGTTAAACGAAATCGTGGTACCATTAGTTTGGACTTAGTTCTAAGGTTAATATTATGGATATCTTCTTTCTTATTGAAATTATGTATATATATATTTTTTAGAGCTTTAATATGGACAGAGCTTCCAAACCATAGGAAACAAAATAACTGGTAGGTTTAAAAACCATCAATTTCCGGACCCCAATGTAGTCGTCAAATCGATTGGAAATACTCATCTCTGCCTCTTCACTTCGTTTTGACCATCACTTCCGGGCAATATTTCACAATGACAACATGAGACAACTAGAAAGTGTAAGTGGGATACTGACGGCATGTCAATTCTCACGGTGTTCTGTTGGTTGCGCATGGCGAGCGTGGAGACCATAGGCGGCCGCTGCGGCTTGTTGGCCAGCAGGCGCTCGATCTCGAGCATCACTGACGGTGTCAGTTGGGGCACGATCTGACCACGAAATTTCGACTCAATATATTTAATACGTCTGTTGAGCAATTTCAGAAAAAAATTATCACCCCTTTTCGTAATAGCATTGAAGAAGACAAAAGAATATTAACGAATAAGAAATTACCAGCTGGGCTAAAAAGGCCGCATTAGCAGAATCATAATATGATTAATTGATAATTCATATTATGAATTTTGAAACAAAACAAAAAACGCAATTTATCTATTTGACAGTGTTCTATGGAGTTCTCCATAGAACAAAATTTATAATATGAATTGTCTATTAATCATATTATGATTCTGCTAATGCGGCCTTTTTAGCCCTGCTGAACAGAACAAACGAGAAAGTAAAAACTAAAATATATATGACCGTAGGTAGGTAGCATATGAAGGCTTTATAACGAGTACAAGATCTCACTGTTGTTAAAAATGTAAGGCATATTTCCCGATGTAGTGAAATAAGATACTTATAGCGTTGTTGTATGTCGACTGTTTCTGTTAAATTTCTTTTTCTTGGAAGCAAAGCAAAAGAGAAGTATTTTAAGGAAAATGTATATATATATATATATATATATACAATGGCAATATATATATATATGTATACATATATATATAATGCCAGACAATCACACCGATTTTCTGGTCTCAAATTATTTCCCGAAATTTCCATTTCCTGTACCGTGAATACCAGAATAACGACATCTCTGAGGGCTATACCCAGAACCAATGTAAAAATGTTCCTTTCCTAAATTGGCCCAAATCGGGAATCGAAGCCGGAACCTCTTCATCAAGCGCCCAAAGTACTAACCACTGTGCCACGAAAGAGCATAAACACACTCCGTAATCGAAACCCGACCACGCGCCGCAAGCCGAGCCCGACCTCACCGTGGGGTCCAGAGCTCATAATAATATATTTACCTGCAAAGCGTGAATATTTTCTTTAAACTGCTCAACGCTGCTTGCACCCAACAAAAGGCAGTTTACAGAATCATTCTTTAAGCACCAGGCCACCGCCAGTTGGCTCATTGAGCAATCTGGAAAATTGATCAATGTTGTGATTCATGTACGGACAACGGCACATCAGACTACACATTTTTGTTCGAAAATCGCCTCCAGTGCAACGGAACAAGATAAGTTAATGTGTAGCTTGATGTGCTGGCGTGTGTACATTTGGGAAAAATAAGTAAAATAATCTTACTTAGCGTATTCGCGAGGTTGGCCAAATCACGCAACTTGTCGCCGTATGTGCGAGGCTCCTCTCCGGTCACCTGATCCTTGCTACCGGAGCTAGGTATCTGCTGAGAATCATTTATTCCTTAACAGACGCAAGTTTAAACTAGTTTATCGTTTGTCGCCAGCACAAAAAATCTATGTGTCTTAGGTACATATTTCATGTCTTAATTTACTTAAATAACACCAGTATTTTAATTTCACTCATTATCATTATTCATCGCTCGTTATAAATTTAGGGTCAACTCAATACAGCGAGCCCCCGCCATTGTGGCAATACGTAACAAAATATTTCTACAGTGGCCTACTGAATTATATATATATAATATATACAAACTTCCAAATCGCCCTAATATATATGTTTAATGTATTAGGGCGATTTGGAAGTGAAAATACTTACCTCGAGATGACATGAACTAACTTGTTTATCTTTCGCAGAATTGGACATACCTACTTTGTAACTTCCTGTTTTTTAAACACAATTTATGATAGTTTGAGATTTGTTCCGAAGGAACGTGGCGTTATGTCTGTCCGGCCGTCCATCGATATTTTGTGGTAATATCGTAACGACATTATGTTTGTAAACTGACTCTCTCTTACGAACGCAGAGATAGTTCTTTATCCCACGCAAGCAAAATTTAGGGTATATACGATACCCAATAGAGCAAGTCTTAAAAATATTAGCTATTTTGTGCCCCTACACATTCCAGGTAGCACTGGCTCGTGTGCCCTTCGTGTCTACCTGTAAGAGGGATGATCTCTTCGGCCACGGACAGCGTAGTTAATGTGGCATCATACTATTCAAAGTCAATAGGTATAGTCCTCAAATAAAAGAAGTATCGACTTGATACGAAGAAGAAGGACTAGCACATATCGATATTATTTTCAATGGGAAAGTAATGAGCACTATAATGATCCCGGTTCCTACAGACAAAGTATTTGTTTTTGGAATTATTTTATCACAAATATCACTGAGAGTTCCCTCTAAATCTTTGAGAAACAATTCACTTTTAATTCTACGCCCGGCCCGTACTAATTACGCGCAAAACGAGTTTATGTAGCGTGCAAGCAATAATTTCACTATTCTATGTAATTCATTTCATCTGGATCTTTTTAATTTGAATGTAATTTCGGCAAGGAGAGTACTGACTGGGCATTTCTATTAGTTATGTTTTATGTAATAAGTTAGTTAAATTGTGCACCCAGATTCCTTATTATTTTTCTATTTGTGAGGATTTATAATGGGCTCTCAGTTGTTACTATTATTATTTAAGTTAGTTTAAACCTGTTAGCCTTCCTTTTAGATAAATAAACAGAAGTTTATAAATGTATGCTGCCGTCGTACGTCATAACGGTGCATGTGAAATTTTTTTAAATTTTTTATTTAAACTTCCCTTATCAGTAAAAAAAGGCCGATCTATCACTATTTTATTTTTTCCTAGGTGGATAAGGTACGATTCCGCAAGAGAAAAGTAGATATTTTTTGAATTTATAATTTCTTTAAACATTATTTTCTGTTTTAACTTTTCGTCACAAGCGCCCTTTCAACTAACGGCGGCAGTATACCGCAACAGTAAAGAAATTAAACATCCCAAATAATGAGAGCACTTATGGCTAGTAGACATACGGTTGAAATGACCCATAACATTGTATTTAGTTTAAAATCACAGTATCCGATATGCATTCGCTGGCTTTTTAAATCTTACCTCGGGTACAGCCAACTCTTCCTCGCACCAGCTGAAAGTGCTGTATTTCCTGTTGAAGCGTGACTTGGCGAAGAGGCCAGTGATCTCCTCACGGCCTAGACCCTTGCCTGTGGTGATGGCTGACCACGCCATCATACCTAGCATGTACATTTCACTTAGATTCCTAAATACAAGAAAACAAGTCATCCACTAAACAACGACACAATAATTTCTTCCTTCGTTAGTGAAAGTACTATGAATTGTAATCTTTAAAACGTTACCAAATGTAGACAATGCTTACCTACTCCGATCTTGTGGTACAGTTCAGGCATATAAAGCTCTGGCTTCTCTCTGCAAAACATGTGGTATTCTGTTTGTTCCACGATAGGCGTTATGCAGTTAAACTGCCTGCAATTAGTATACGCGTCCATAATCTACAACACATATAGTTTTCCTTTTTTTTTATCTACGTAACAAAAGCGCGAAGGTAATATATTTTGCTGCAGTTAAATTTTTTTTTTGTGTATAAATAAGTAGATTTTATTATTTAAAGAGTTCAGAACTAAAACCTCAGATGGAGTCCAACGAGCCGTGCCCCAGTACATGACCCATCCTTGATTAATAACGAAGTTCATAGCGCGGACCAACTCTGAAAGAGATATTTAAGTAACATTGAATGAAGGTGCACATTTCATACACAAACCAATTAAAATGTGCAAAACTTACCTTCCATGGGGCAGACAGGGTCGACCTTGTGCAGGAGCACTACGTCAATATAATCCATCTGCAGCCGCGCGAGTGACGCTTTCACACTCTCCACAATGTGTTTGCGGGAGAGCCCTCTCTCATCCGACCTGTTATTAGTATTACCAAACCTAATAAACGGAGTTCACGTATTAGGAACTATGTAGCATAAAGCGTTCTTCTAAAAAGCGATGGTGTAACTTGTGTCAATAGCCAAGTTAGAAGATTTAGCAACAAGCATTCCACTCATCTTCAAGAACCATTAAGATTTCAGTCCTGTCTATCAAAAATGTAATGAGATTGTAAAGGTGTCGATATGAATGTGGACATGTGGGGCATGGTCATTCCTGTGTAATATTCGTGGGAACATTCTCATGTTGCTGAAATCAATAACTTTCGATCGATCAGTTCTGTGCAATAAAATTTGTGTCAGGTCATAAGAGTTAAATAGTCGTCTATATATGAATGTACAGGCGAATTACAAAATGTAGAAAGAAATAATTATTTATTGACTACATCGCATGTGTACATAGTTCGTTATGTTCATTTTCTCATTACATTTTTTTGTCTACAAAAAATGTAAGTAATAACATTCACATAGGTACAGTATATTGAAAATAAATTAAAGGCTAATTTGAAAGTTATAAAAAAGTCAACAGATAGTGCAATACATTTTGTTTCATATATCATGTTATTAAAGGAATTTAAAAAATAAGTATAGTAATGTCAATGTTAGTAAACAAACTCACTTAGTGCTCCAGTATATTTTAGTTGTAATTATGATACTAGTCCTTCTCACATTACGTTTCTTCAGAATCCTTCCGAGTTCTGCTTCGCCTTTAGCTATTTGAAAAACAATAACAATTTGTAGAGTTTGACTACTTCTCCTTCATTTATTAACCTAAAGTCAAAGAACTGACCGCAATGTGCCTCTGACAGATCAAACAAGTTGATGCCGTTCTCTATAGCCGTCATGATAACATCTTCTGCAGAGTCCTCGTTGACCAAGGTCCACATGCCAAGCCCAATGTTGGGCACCCGCAAACCCGACTTGCCAAGGTTCTTGTAGCGAAGACCAGGAGTAACATTGGAAGTCAAGGTTGTGTGGTTGCCCATGTAGACAGACATATGCCTTGACACGTTCATCTCGCCAGCTGTTGACAATAATCAACGTATAACTTTTGCATAACCACAAAACTGCTTCAGCTCTTGACTGTTATAGGTTTCTAATTTGTAGACTTTTCAATCTTCTTATTACGGTTTACCCAAAAAGATGGAGAAGCACTACATACAGCAAATATTTTTTTAAGATGGCATAATATCTAATTAAGGTTTAGGATTTGTTGTAACTTGTAAATATGAATTTAAAGATCGAAAATTCATTCGATCCGGTTAGATTCGAAACTTGGACTTTGAAAACAAAAAACAAAGTTTTGCAAACAAGCACATAGTTTCCTACGGTCTGCTGGTTCGTTCCGTAGCTCAGTTGAGTGAGCCTCAACCACGGGATGGTGAAGGCGTTGCTTGAATGAATTTTTCTTTATGTTCCATATTTGTATTAATAATTATAAAAAAAGTAGTGGAGTTATTTCAGAAAAAATAATTCATTATCGTAGTAGGAAGACACCTATTGCTTCTGAAAGTAGCAGTAGTACTAGAAGCAGTACAGCTGCTTGTGAAAGAGTTTGTCCAGGGAAGTACTGTCACCTTATCTATTTCTGCCGCCAAACAGTAATTACTGTGTTCCGGTTTTGAAGGGTAGGGGTGCTGGTGAAATTACACGCACATGGAACTTGTCAACACAAGTCTCAGGGTGACGGGCGCAGAGTCACTGCTACTCAGATCTTTGCGATTTAAATTCAACGTTTTAGCTTTTTCATATTCCTTTACATGTCACTACGTTTAAATAGGTTGACTTGGAACATTTTTTCGTGGTTTTTGTATTAGACCCGTCGTCCATTTATTTGTAAGTCAATGTAAAATATACATAATTTGTTTCATGTAGCTCGTATTATTTTTATGACTTTCGTGTGATAAAACACTTTTAATGTATGATCACTAGTGATCGGAATTGAGGGAGTTAGGTAATCTATATAAAGAATTAATATTTTCGACACGTATAAAATTTCTTTTTTTTTACTGTTTATTTTCTAAACATAACTAATTTATAGGTTGTGTAATGTTTATATTTTAAATGGCTAAAGTATTAAGTACCTATAAAAATACAATTACAGTATTATTTTTTGAGACAATAATTTGTAGTAAACACTTAAAAGGAAATAATAATTTGTTGCCAATGTACGAAAATTTTCATAGATAAAACGCATTTTCGTTCCGAGAAGTCCCGGGATTTGTAGAAGGGAATGTCCAGTATTCTTTAATTTAGCTAAACTAACTCCCTCAAATCCTTTCACTGATGATCACATGTGGTTTCATTATGTCAAGGGTACGAATTATTGGCCCATACGTGAGATTATTCAGTTCGAAATTTTGAAGAGAAAGTACGACTGTCCCTATAATGTTTCAAAATCCAAAAAATATGTTAATGGTTAAAGTTATTGACTGATAACACTCCTAAACGTGTGAACCAGCCCTAAGATGTTGTAATATTTGGTGTAAGTTCGGGGTTCAAAAGAGTGTCCTTGAGCCCTCCCTGCTAGTGCGCTGCAACGGTGCGCGGTATCGACTTAATCAATAATGCATTCTAACCGTCAACGGCCCTTGTCACTTGCATCATGTATACGTATTTCACCCTCATCGTAACTGTTACGTTACGAATTACGTTAAGTGACATTTATGGGTACCTAACTAATAAAACAAATTTAATAATAATGACTATTCACCGTATTAGTTCGATATTTTTATCCTGAGATTGATTTAGCTCTCTTCTATGCACGCTACAATTATCACTCATTAATTTTCAGGGATTATTATAATTATCAGCCAAAATACAATTATCCAGATTTTTCGACGTAAGGGTTATCACTTAACGAAAGTATCTCTGTCTTTAACCGATTTAAAAATAAGAGGATATACTTATATTTTTTTTAGTACTCAAATCAAGGTTGTTAAGCTAAATACACTGTTAGGAACGAAAAAGGGTAATTTAAAAATTGGATTGGTTAAATAAAATTTTATTCAATTATTTTCAGGAGTAATAAGTGACAGCATACAAGTGAAAATAACAATAAAAACGAATTTTATCTCTTGTGTTGTAAATATATAATTTAACATGATAATTTATCATGTTCTTACTATTAACCTGTGTATTACAATAATAATATTTCATGGCATGAAATTAAATAAATAGTGTATGACATATGTTAACCTTCTAAAGCCCCGTGTACATCGAAATGTACATAATATATGAAGTGATTCAGACCCAGACAATATTATTCCTATGATCACGTAGACGCCCAGTGTATACATTATAACGAAAATATAGCATTCAAATTTAGCGAGCTATATACAGGGTTGTAACGATGTGACCTCCTTACGTCGTCATCCCACCTTTTTATCGCTTATTCTCCGGTTCCTGGCCACTCGTTTTTAAATTTTGAATCGTTCCTTAATAGTTTCTTTTGCCTCGCCATTTTGATTTTATTTCGTTCCATCGTCACTCCCTGCTCGAACACGGCAGTGTACCGTGCTGTTTAAATTTCAATTGCATCTAATTTAGATTTTTTTACCAGATTTCTAATAGCTACTACTAATCATGTGGCAATTTTGATAACAACTTGCAATAACTACTGTTAATCATGTGCCAATTTTAACATCAATCTGTAATTCAGTATAACTCGGCCCTTTTGGGGTAAGTGTCTACTTTATATTCATCCATAAGCATATTCGTATGTAATTAAGTTAAAGAGTGTTTTGTAGTATTGTACCTGCTTTTGTATACCATTTTTTTTACAGCCTCTTTTTTCTCTTTAATATCAACTTATAATAAATTTCCGTTGACCTGAAGTTTTCTTATTTTATTGTCGTGGACCTGGTCATGGTTCATTAGGGTTTACAACCTTTTGAGGTTTATTTTGTAAAATACTGACACCCTCACAAGACATATTACTAACATTATAAGTAACAACTTTAGTTCCACGACTTTTTACAAAACAAAACATTATCCCCGCTCCGGCGTTTTGCATCGAACTGGTATTTAATTTACGCTATCGTTTACTTTTGTTACCGCGCAGAGTTAACACCGTTTAGGGCAATCTATTTAAATTAATTTTTTTGTACGAAAGTAAAATCTGAGGAATTATAAAAAGTCATGTATAATACAAAAGTTGTTGTTTATGAATTCATTTATATTTTTGTGAAAAGGTACACCAACAGCAAAACATATGCAACAATTCGCATCACAACACGTTGAAACAATGGTATCAATAAAAAAATGCTTGCGAATTATAGGCATAAACAACATTTGCCAAGAACTATCTAAACATTGACAATAAATTCCAAGTTAATAAATCGAGACTTTAAACGAGAGACCTCCAAGAGCCTATGCATTTAAATAATGCAAAAGTTGAATTTTAAAACATTTGGCGAATCATTGGAAACATCTATGACAGTTGCCTTTTGAGTGATTTCGTGATATTCGCAGCATACCCTGGATAGGGGACAATGCAAACTTAAATTAGTCCTGTCATTCGGAATATTGAATACTTTTCGTACTGGTTGTCTGGCATAGTTGTAAGGTACATAACACTTAGTCTTGTTATTTATAATGCAGTTTAGAAATATAGTGATGATGTAATGATGTTAGTAATATAGTCCTGCAAAGTTGTTAGTAGTCGACAAATAGCCTCTGTATGTTGTATATGAGCATAGGGTATATAGAAAAATACGTTTTTCATATAATTCTGAATACATTTAGAAAATTCAAATGTACATTGGGCGTTTAGCGCTTTTCCCATTGTAGTTTGCTGGGTCTTAGGAGGCATAGATAGAAGAAAAACAATCTAGTTAAGGGAAGGAAATATCATCGAATAACGCGCACCCTGAGTTAGAAGTTATGTTTATTTTTTGGCGGAAGAATGTCACCATAGGCTTTGACTGCAACTAGACGTCTGCAATGTTGATCAATGGTTATGACTTAACTGCGGGTTGTCAGGTTTTGCAAAAAACCGAAAAGGCAGAAAATTTAAACAAACGCCACTTACCTGCGACCGCATTAGCCTTCCCAAAACAGTCATCCACAAAAGGTTTAACCACAATAGCAAACGTCGAAAATAGAATAGTCCCCCAAGATTGTGACGAATCAGAAAAACAGCCAGCAATTTTTAAGGAATACATAGATTTGATGATTACACCTGAGAACGGTCTAATTGTATCTATATTTCAATGACATAAACAGAGTAAATGGAAAATAATAACGTAAAAGATGTAGAGAGTAACATTATATCAATGCTTGTATTATATACAAACATAAACATTTTAAAACATTTAAAATAGATATCTATTATGTACGTATCTAATTATGCAAGTCTATACTTATAGATTACTACCATCACGCGTAAATAGTAGGTACATTTACTCTATGCTGCTATTTATTGTGTATCACGTGCTACTTACTATGTATTATTTGTTATCTATCTACAAAAAACAGTTCTTGCAAGTGTTATTTCAAAGTTCCAATAGACTCTTCTTTCTGTATATTCGTTGTAGCCGACGTGCCGTGTATTTTGTGACCCAGTGTTTTTGACGACGTGCATTAAAGAGACCTATCAATACTTGTGATTCATTATCAAAGCATCAAAAAAGCTAACTGAGTACAGCCTGTAGAAGCTGGGGTTATAAACTTGATATAGGTTATGTTTATAATATTGTCCTGTATTTCGCTTGAGATGTTTGTTCGTAGTAGCAGAATACAACAAGTATTCAGTTTGTTCCTAACAATATGAAGAACTTGCTGAATATTCCTAAATCTGCCAAACTCTGCCACATTTAATACAACGAAAATGAATAAATAATAAATCTGTCCAAGTGGCAGAAATCTGCCACAAATGGTCACACTGTTCTCAATCTGAAAGTGAGATTGGCAAGAGACCTCCTAATAAAACGTGCCTTTGGTAACTTTCGTATCTCTCATTTAAATATTGTCTAAATATTTTTGTCACATTGGCTTTTTTATTTTCACTTTGCCATTATTGTTTAATTGATTTATTAAACATTTTATAGCTTTAATATTTTATGTGTGTCCTATGGTCGAAATCATATGCGTTGTGTTCTTGCATCTATTCTAAAATACATTTATTTGCAATTTACTCCGTGTATATTCCTGACTTCTAAAAATATACAAAAATATTTATATTTTTATTTAATTGACATTCAATTATTTTTGTGTGAAATTATTCCACTAGTTTGTTATAATTATTAATACAAAGATCGAACACTCGGAAAAAATTCTTTCGATCCAAACCGAACCGACGTCTTCTAGCATACCGTGTCAGAAGCTATACCAAATAATACACGAAACGAACCAGCGGACCTCATGACTTTTTCTATGTGCTTGCGTCGTATCTTTGTATTTGGTTTTTCTACGAAACATATTAATAACTAGATATAGATAAAAATGTAAAATTATACTAGCAAAGACCATGAACGGCACTTCGTTGATTTTGGGTCAGCTTTCGCCATTTTCGTTTCGTTTTTTCTTTTCTTTATGCTTAGCATATTTTACTTACCTTGATCTAACATCTGCTGCGAGTTCGCACTAAAATCGTCCATACAATCCAGAGATGCGATTGGAGCGCGACATCTACGCAACAAATACAATAACAACTTTCAATTCATTATTTAGTTACATTTACCATGTTATTATGTAAACAGTATACTGGTAGTACCACTGATCCTTAAGTTTGTACGTTAATAAAAGAATTGTTTTCGCCGACAAAACATGGCTCAGCGAGGAGTTCATATCGAAAACATCCTCAATGTTATGTAGGTACTATTATTTGTACTCATATCCTACCCGTTTTAAGTTGAACGACGATAGCGAGCATAAGCAAATCTTTTTTATAATGCCAACCCACATATCTAAGTGTAGTATTTTAGAACTCTACTCAATGCTCAAGTCAGGACATGATATGATTCAAAGCACTAGAAATCATACTCAAGTCCTTGCCATTAGGGTCGTATTTCCAGTGCTTGAAATCATACTCAAGTCTGCTCAAATCCTGACCCTTAGAGTGTTCACATACGGCAACTTTAATATTAAATTTAATTGTCTAGGGTAATTATTACATTTAAGTACAATAATTTCAAATTTTAAGACAGGTTTCTATTTAGGAAATAAGGCTAGCTAGACTCTATATGAAGTAAGTATACGTTGCAAGTTGATATCGCCTACTTTGCAATCTAGATAAAATTTCATAATGAGTGTTGACTATTATGATCTTAACTGCAATAAATTAGTCTCTACATAGCAACTGTTGATTATCAAATGTAGTTGGCCAAATGATGTATAAAAATATTTAGCAACAATTATAATAATTTCTATGCCTAGTGGAGATCTATAATAATAATAAATAAGCGTCATTGGCTCTTTACAGTTGTCGTAATGTGTACAGTATATCAAAAACTTAACATTGGTTGTTAATATTCGTTGTCGACAGAAAAAAGCGAAGTGACATCATTAAAAGAAAGAGTTTTGGGTGATGTGAGGGTATATTAGAAAAGCTTGGAATATCTACAGCAAGGGAAGGTAGGGCACGTGTTACAGTGATAAGCAAGGGTGAATGTCGTACACCGGAACAGAACATCGAAGGACTGTACCATACCTTAGGCGCTGGAATCAGCTCCGCTCCCGGTGACTCATCATGAGAGAAGCTAAGCGATCCAAATATGGCCAGTATCATAAGAGATCATGAAGTAACCAACCATATAAATTCAGAGGATTATGGTAAAGACCGTATTACCTACATACTCAAAGAGAATGCAGGTGTACTAGTGGATCGCGTGAGAGACTTTACAATCTACCTACAGATACGGCGCTCATTGGTACCTACTCGCATGCGACGATCGCAGTGCGCGATGTGGCGAAGTGCGCTATCAGCTTTACTTGCCCTTGGGGAGAAGACATAACCGACAACAAGCCGGCTTGTTATTCCCTAGTTCTGGAATGTAAGTGCGTTGGTGTAGCGAAGTGTCCGCGGGGGGGGTAATGGACTATAGTATAGTGTAATTGATGGCGATACGTCTTCTCCCTGGACGACGATCCTAAAAGATCCAGTTACCGATATATGGTAGGCATGGGGTTGGAGTCGACGCTAGCGCTGTCCGGTGGCCCGATCGGCGTGTGCGGGGTGCATCGGCTGATGGTGGACTCGCTGCGAGACATCTGCGAGCTCTCCTTGCCGCTGCCGGCTTCCACCCGATTGCATTGCATCTCGTGCCGCCTCATTCTGCTCCTACGCTTAGCAATGGCATCTTATCTCCCTACAAACATCTCACAATGAAACGTTCATACGCTCCGCCGGGCGGACCCTATTTAGGAAAGGATACGGCGGGTTGAATTTTATAAGACACTTAAGGACAAAGGAGGTAAACATATAAAAGCATGCATACCGCTAACATCTAGTCCGCTAAAGGAACACGAAATCGTGTGACACACTGGAGAAAAAATATCTAAGCACTGGACTAGTCACAATTAAGAATACAAGGTAGTAGATCAAACACTTTGGGTGAACAAGTAAGTAGACACGGAAGGTAGGCACGTCAATGGGCTGTGGTAGCACTCACCGAGTTGGTGTAGAATTTCTACGTACGGAACATTGGGGCACGGCGCTCTGACGTCGGCCAGTAAACTGTGAAATTGTCGGACTGTATTGCGGTGTGGAGGAAGAGGAAGGCGCTGCGTCGCTGACTGCCGAACGGCGCACTGCGCAGCCTTCGCGCCCCGTGCACATGCGCCCTGCTTAGCCCGATACCGATCTGACCTATTTCTAGATTCAGCCTCCCACCGCGCCACTGTAGAACTCGTATCCGATACTAGGTTCCGATTATTGATTAACAACGGAAATAACCTTTCAGACTCTCTTTGTTCTCTAATGCCTAGCCAGGTAGCTAACCCCGTCGACCGAGTTTTATTAGTGCACTCTATGAATGAAGCAAGGTTTAGATTTGCAAACAAAAATATGTTATTAATGGAAAATTTATAGTAATTTTATTGATCAAGCAAAAAACATACGCTAATGAAACTATTTTTTCGAATAATTTCATTTACAATTTGCAGCAATACCTGCACAACAAAAACTTAAGAATTTGATAAACGTATTAGTAGTTTTATTCGTAAATAGAGCCCGCTTTATAATTTTGAAATCGACAAAATATTTATACTCTGGCATATGACACTACCCATATTAATTGGCGCATATTATATTTACATAAACATATCCACAAGCAAAGACGTGATCGTTGAAATTATGGGCTACTTGTTGCGTTAATCGCGTAAACAACGCTTTGTCCCGACTTTATAGGAGCCCTTATACCTACTACGAAATTATATTTATAAGATTCATTATCGAAGCAGGGGGTCTACTCTCGATATCCGTCCGACATTGGTCCGAAATAATTACTGTCAAATAAGTAATATTCGACAAAATTGAAAGACAAGTATCAAGTATGAAGCTTCATTCGCATCATGTGTCTTTTCGTTTGGTCAAGTATTTGGCAGTAATTGTTTCAGACGGATGTCGGACGGAGATCGAGAGTAGACCCCAGAAACGACGATTAGTATTGCAATAAATGATTTTTGTTAAACACTTGAAGCAGAAATAACATTCAAAAACCAAAATACTTAGCCAAGCTCTCTAGTCCGATTAAAGTTAGTTAATTACCAAAATAGCTTTGCATTTTCTGCAGTCATTTGACTCTTACCCAGGGCAAGAAGGTGCTCTCACAAGGGATATACGCGGATGGGGGCTGACATCAATGTCTGAAGCGCGCCAAGAACGAGGGTCGGCGATACAAACTGCATCCTCACAGCAGCCATCACTGTCTATAGATTCGTCTACAAAACAGTCACTTACTACTTTAATAGTGGTACAGTGTAGAACACTTCTCGGCGCAGGTGTCTTCAAAGTAAGGGAGTTATTTCATAATATAAGAACCACTTGGATTATTAAAGGGACTCAAAATTTATTTAAAGAGTTTTCTTTTGCTCCTTTCCTTTGCAAGTTTTCCTAACCGTAGATACAAACTTAAGAGTCTATACTACCTCAAATGGCTTTGGTTGATTTCGTATAAAAGTTGAATAAAATCACTTTAGAAAAACCATATAGTAAAATTGAGGATATGCACTGATTACTATACGGTGTGAAAAATGATTCTTTAAAATTTTTACGATACAAAAATAAACACAAACTTACTTCGAAATTTTAAAAGAAAACCGTTGTGTTCAATAGGTACTTAATATATAGCACTGATTTCTTTATGTCAACTGAACTAAATAGAACATGTATAGTATACGATATACATTTTTCAAATGGCTTTAATTTCGTTTGTAAATAAAAAAATACTGAAATAAAACCTGTGTCCCTGCCGCTCGACCTCGGCAAAATAAGCCATATTAGGGCTTATTCCCACTTGTCACTACAGGCTTTGTTCCCACTGGCGACAAATGAAAAAAAAATCCCATATGTTACCAGGTGGTGACAAACGGGATAAAAAAAATAGCAGTTGTTGCCAGTGGTTATTTCCACTGGCGACAAATGAAAAAAAAACTCATTTTTTTTATTCCATTTGTTTTTTTTACCACTGGCAATTTGTCACCACCTGGTAACATATAGTTTTTTTCCATTCATCGCCAGCGGAAATCACCACTGGCATCAACTGAGACTTTTTATCGCCACCTGGTAACATATGGAATTTTTTTCCCCATTTGTCGCCAGTACAAATCACCACTGGCAACAACTGGGATTTTTTTATCCCGGTTGTCACCACCTGGTAATATATGGGACTTTTTTCCCATTTGTCGCCAGTGGTGACAACTGGGAATAAGCCCATATTAGTAGGTAGGGGAAAAATTTGAATTCGAGCTGAGGTAGTATTGACTCTTAATTATTCTACGTTGCGATTTGTGCTTTACTCTAATAAAAATCTGTATCTTTTATTTTACTTTGTGAACGTAAAAATTCGTCGTACCCCTGCAGGATCCGAGTCTCGAGAGGTTGATGAAGATGCCATCACTCTCACTAATGCTTTGACTAGACTGTGGCTTCGTCAGTTGAGCGCTGCATGCTTTCTTTAGAACGCTCTGTAAAAACACATCTTTCATGTTATAATATTTGAAAATTAAGATACGCGTAGGACGCGTTCCCATTAAGTCGTAACGTTTTATTTATCGTTGGACGACTGTCGTGTCTAACCTGTTTCTATATCACGACTATCTGCCGTGAATGTGTCGTGGACGTTTATTTTATCGTTTAACGACTGTCGTGCCTGGCTGTTCCCACTGGACGTAACGACGACATATCGGTTCACGGCAGCCGCCATGTTGTCTGCACTACAGACTCGTTTGAAGCTGCGATTATCTGTCCTCACATTTATCGTGACGTTTCATTTATCGTCAGATCATTGTCGTACTAGCTCTTCCCATTGTCACGACAGCTTGTCGTCGTAACGTTAAAAAGGTCGTGGACGACAGTTAATAGTGATGCTCTATGTGGGAACAACTTCATTGAAATATGTAAGTCACGACACTTTGAATTATCATCATAATATTGTCATCGCAACATAATGGGAACGCGCCCTTACGGCTGCACGAAATTACCCTCCCTGCAAGAGATACCAATTCTTTCCTGTACCTTTAGCGCACCCTAGGCAATAATCGGCGAGTACCTTACGCCGTTTAACAAATCTTTTCATCACGATGGCAAGCATTATAGTGTATGCCATCGCTACGATAACAAAAGAAAAATGGAGCATCAATTTCACGATAAACGAACCCGGTAATGTTTGGTGGTGTCCGGAATGGAAGGCCGACTTTGTCGGAATCGAGCTGCTTGGCGCTGCAGGTCACTCAGCCGATGGTGTGACCATGATGTGTTCATGCCACGAAGTTCTTCTATTGCCTCAATCTGATTAAAATAAGTCTATGTTAGTAGTTAAGTAAAGTTTTGCGATTTTTGTAATAGGTTATTTATACCGCAGTGTTTGCAATTGTAAGGATTTTTTTATTGGTTAAAATCAAGTGTGCATTAGACCTCCACCTCACCTGGAGCATGCAAACCAATATAATGCCTATTCACTCTCGCCTTGGGAAGGCACAAGTATAGCGTAAAGGAAATAAATCTGCAGGCGAGGAATTCCACTCCAATGCCGTCCACCATATAAATGTGGAAGCATAACCCTTCATGCGAATCTTGGGCATAAACACAACGTAGGGGTGTGGAACAGCATACATATATGATGATCACATAATTATATCCATTTCGTCGTCAAAGCGTATAAAATTTCTTTTTTTTACTGTTTGTATCTAAACATTCAAACATAGGTTGTCTCATATTTATTTTTTAAATGGCTAAAGTATTTAAATACGTATAAGTACGTATAGAAAAATAACTACAATATTATTTTTCGAGACAATAATTTTTAGCAAATGCTTAATTGGAAATAATAATTTTGTCGCCAATACAATGTACTCAAATTTCAATAAATAATAAGCATATACAAATATAACCAGTTGTGAGGAGTCCCGGGATTTGCAGAGATTCTCCAAGTAATTCTTCCATTTTATACGTCCCACTGCTGGCCACGGGTCTTCTTTCAGCCGACAGTTTAGGCCATGGTCCACCACGCTGGCCCAATGCGGGTTGGGGACTTCACACGTTATCCGAGGGTTATGTACCTTCACACTTCGAATTAAATTTTGCACATAAATCCGAGAAACTCAGAGGTGCGAGCCCGAATTCGAACCCACAACCCTCAGCTTGAGAGGCAGTAGGTCAAACCATTAGGCTACCACGGCTGCACGTCACGTTATTCTTTAGTTTCGCTAAATTAACTCCCTCAATTCCGATCACTAATGATCATAGAATTGGAATGGCCGAATAACTTCTCTCTCTCTACTCTCCGTGATATATAATCCTTCATTCACGAGTATGAAATAGAATTTTAGTTGTGAAGATATTTTTGTTACTCAGTATATTACACGCAAAATAGGCGCCTTGACGTCGAGTTGCGGACACCAGCCCGTTACACCAAGTACCAAGTACTCAGCATAGAGTACGAAAAAAAACCGACCTCAAAAGTCATTCATCCCTTAGTTTGCCACCCTCAGAGGTGGAACAAGAAAAATCATCAAAATCGGTTCGTAAATCGAGTTATCGCATAACATATATACAAAAAAAACCGGTACCTCGGATCGCTTGTATTCTTCTTCAGCCTCTATGGCACGCTGGTGTAGAAGTTCTATATCCAGTTGCCTATCTTCTTCTGCTTCTCTGGCCTGTGTTTCTTTTTCCTGGAAAGAAAGAATTTAAAAGAAATTATTCACACAGGTATAAACACAGATTTACATTATGCCACGATCGACGATTCTGTTACTTACGTTTGGATCTTTTGTTATGTATATGAATAGTATAATCCGTATAATAAAGCCACATGTGCCCGTACGTGAAAAGCGCTTTTAATAGCTGCAGAGCCTTGTGTAAGAGTGCGTCCAGGGAATTACTGCCACCTTACCTATTTCTGCCGCCAAGCTGTAATTACAGCTTTACTGTGTTTCGGTTTTGAAGGGTAAGGGTGTTGGTGAATTTATAGGCACGTGGGACTCAACTTGGGACGTCTCAAGGTGACAGGTGCAGTAGCAGTGCCCCTCAGATCTTTGCGATTTAAAGCTCTGATTGGCACTGTAACTGTTATGGACAGGCGTGTAACTCACCATCCGGATCACAACTTGTTCGTTCCGTCACTTATTATTATAAAAAAAAATTATGAAAGTCATTAAAATAATACCGTAAAAATATTAACACATTTTGTTTAAGTACTATCACTGAAAATATATACGTGCTTATCCTTAAATTATCGTTGATCAGTACCAATACTCATACTAATGAAAAGACTTGCATAAAGATCGCGTGCCCAATAGTTAAATGACTACGAGTTGAGGTTAGATTAAGGGCACCTAGCCTTATAGCACTGGGCTTAAGAATAAGGCTACGGTATCACCTGCCTGTCGTACAAGGCCACCAAAAGGTGACCTTGAGGTCGCGGACACTCAGAGTGGGGGCTTTGCTAGTCCGTTAAAGCGACTCTGGAAGACGGCAGAGAGTGGTGGTTGCACTATGCCGTGCCGAACTTGACAGGGACGGCGCAGCGAGGGCTAAGAGCTCGAGAGGCGCCTAATAAGGCGAAGTGCGTAAGAGGCACCGGTGACTGTCGTTAGAGATCCCTGAGTAGATGGACGGCTGATCTGGTAAGGACGGCGGGTAACCGATGGATGCACGTCACGTCCGGTCGGCTCGTGTGGAAATCTTTAGGGGAGGCCTGTGTTCACGCTTCCGTACTGTGTATGTGAAAATGGCGACGCCAGAAAATGACTTTTCCAATATATAACTTATTTTTTTAATAAATTGTAAGTTCGCATTTGACCTCCATCTCACCTGATGGAAAGTGACGATGAGGTCGACGATGGATGAATGCCTATTCACTTTCGCCATGAAAAGGCCCAAGTTATAACGTTCAGGGAACAAGTCTGCAGACAGGGAATTCCACTCCACAGCCGTCGCAATATCAATATGGAATCGTAACGCTTCGTGCGAATCTTTGGAATATCCACAACATATAGATGGAACCCAAGTCTACGCCTAGTCCCCCGGTGACGGAAAGGGGAAAGCGGAATTAAATAGTGTAATTCCATCGCACATTCTCCGTGATATATCCTGTAAAATTCCGATAAGCTGGTAACTTTACGGAGGTGTTCAAGGCTCTGCAGTTTCGCCTCCACTAATTCCGAGTCACCTATAAGCTTCTTGGCACGGTTGTCAACTGAATCCTAGGTGGCCACTTGGTATGTAGCAGAGCCATCCTAAAGGTGGCAGCAGTACTCCATGCACGACCGGATTTGTGCTTGGTACAGCTGAAGCAACTGTCCCGGTGTGTGTGTCCCTATCTACTGACCTGAGAGATAGGGTTTTCCGGAGACTACGGGCTCGACGGCAAGACCGGGGTATAGCGGGCGTCCGGGCCAAGCGCTTCGCCAGTGATACGCCTTTGCGGGCGTCTCTGGCGGACCCGGACTTAGGCATGGACTTGCAGGACACTGCGACTGGCATGTCCGGCACTAGCCCGGAGAGCTAGTAGAGGATAAGCTAGATATCCTCCGGTCCCTCCAGCCGCTTAGGTTATTGGGAACTGGAGAGACGTCGTTTTTCGGCGTCGGGAAGTGAGCTCCGCCACCGATGAGGAGATTTGGTAGTGGACTCAAAGTCGACGGCTTAGCGGTGGCAACTGCTAGCTGTACAATGCGCAACGGGAAGTGAGCGTGCCTACAGCTCCGGTACTTATCTGGAAAATAGGGACCGCAGAATAGGGGAAAATACTGTTCGTGGAGCCGGGGCGGTTCACCAGAGGCACTAGCCTCTCGAAGAACCCTATAACCTGTGCGCGCACAGGTTATAGTGTCCTTCTCGTATGCCCTAAGTACCTCTAGGGCATACGAGAAGTGATAGTGAGAATTATAGTGACGTAAGTGAGGGTCACTATAATCAAAACTAACGTAGAAAGATATGGTGCTTGTCCTCGTGTGAAGTAACGCCTCACCCTGGAAAGGATCCCAAGTTTCCTTGCTGCATATTTGGTCATGGATTCAACGTATCTTCCGAAGTACAAATTGGACGACAGGGCCGTTCCAAGTAGTATAGATATATCACGAAAAGTCGGAGTCAGCTCAAAGGAACTCCGTTTTGTGGAGAATAGACACGCCTGCGTTTAGTAGCGTTAAATTTGACAAGATTGGCATCACTCCAATCGGAGACTGCCTTGAGTGTCAAATCCAAAAGGCTAACCATAGACTCTCGACAAGACTGGATTTCCTCTCCACTGATCCTTGCATTGGTCAAGTACCTATCTACAACTGTGTTGTCATCAGCATACGCAAAGGTACCTGGAATTAACATATCATTGATATGCTGTAGAAAGAGAGTCGCGGACAAATAAATAAATAAAAAATTAATTTCCTTACCTTTTGCATTTGGCGTTCGTGTTCAATTTTCTGTTGCTCAAGTTCTTCTTCAGGAATAGGCGGAGTCTCATCACCACCGCTTGCATGTTTTGTTCCTAATTCAAGTTTATTGTTTTACGTAGTTCAGTAAGATCGTAAGATACAGATAGGTACTATTTAATAAATTTAATACTACTAATAATGTTTAGCAGGTACATAATGCACGTTACGGTGCAACGAGTGTGTGAATAAAGGTACAAAATTCAAAAGGGTCCTAGTTCTTCATTTCAAAACATTTTTATATCCCAGAGTATTAGACCCTTTTATAATTCTTTTAATATTAATGTTTGTACACAATACTGAAGTTTGTATGAAGTAGTGTAAGTCACAAGTTTTTTTTATAACAAACAATTGCTCCGTAGGATAATGGAGTCGAATAAGTATTCATATTTATGTATTTAGATCATTCTTGTATTAGTGTTTTCTGCCTAATTTTTGTAGTAAAATTTATTATTGAAGTATTCAAGTACACTAACGTGAAATATTATTGTATATATTATTGTAGGTAGGTATATATTTAGACAATCACTAAATAAAAGGTTGAATTATAATAATAACGTTCATAAATGACCGATCGAATATTATAACATGACATACTTAGATATAATCGAAACAAAAAGATTGTAGTCATTTTTTTTTCAAATTAAACGTCTGGTTGTTATTATAATTAACATTGTTATTATACTTCAACCAACAACAGTGTTATTATAATTCAAACTTTTTTCGGCTTGTACTATGAAAATAATATTTCATGTACATAAATATTTTAAATACGCGAATATTAAAAAAATATTTCACTATCAACGATATCTATGTACTAACGTTGAAAGTCTTTGTGCACAATACTATTTCACTAAACAATAAGTACTCAAATATAGAGTTTTTGAACAAGAACTTTGTTTTGTAAATCAAAATAAAACAATAAATTTAGATGACAATAGATTAAGTTATCGAGAGATCAGTCAACCGTGACCATGGGACCTGTAAAGGGCCCGAAACGTCGGTTTGTTTGAAAAAACAAATATACGCGATTTAAATCCGGAAAAATAGTTTCATTTCTTATAGAAAGATGTTAACAACTCAATTTTGGCCTATTATTGATGATATGGATATCACTAATATGTGATTTCAACAAGAAGGTGCCACAAGTCACACAGCCACCGAAACAATGAATTTGTTGCAAACCAAATTTCCCGATTGCTTAATATCACGAAATTCAGCCGTTAAGTGACCAGCTCGATCATGTGATTAAACACCACTGGATTATTTCTTTATGGGGTTATGTTAAGATGGAGTCTATACGGAGCCAATCGAATCGATTGCAGCTTTAAAACTCAAAATTCGTGAATTGAGTAAAGAAATAGTCAAAAAGTGATTAAAAACTTTGATGAAAGAATCGACATCTGTAACTGTGGTCGTGGTGGACATTTATCAGATATCATTTTTCATTCATAATTGCCAAACCTTACTTTTTCAATTCAATAAAAATTTGATTCATTGTCATCTAAATTTATTGTTTTATTTTGATTTACAAAACCAAGTTCTTGTTGAAAAACCGTTTCTTATATAGTATGTTACGATAACCCGAATGTTATTTATTATCTCACGACTATATACTCCAATAGGTACTGAAATATAGTAGAAACTGAGTCGGAAATTAGGTAGTGAACACTAGGTAACCGTCGTCTGTCGGCCGTTGTCGAACGGCCGATGTAGTTTCATACTATGCAATCAAAATAATTATTACCTTGCATTAAACTAGGCAATTCCCTGTACGATGAATACCGGAATAATTATTCTGTAGTGTCATCAAATTAATCCATATAGTCGAATTAGAATCAATTTGTTATCTTACCTGTGGGCGGATGGTAAGAAGGAATCCAAAATTGGTGAGCCAGTTTTACTATTTATTATAGACCGTTTATGATAAATAATGTAATCAGTTTAATCCAATGCATGATAGCTACCGAGCCCCGAACGTAAACTGGATCATGTATAAACGTAAGAATTTATTAATAGATGTTTATTTTCACGGTTACAGATATGTATTCTAGTTATGTATGAACTTTTTGGCAACGGTCCAAGAATCGGTTAAACCATTCAAACTAGATTTGAAGGATATAAAAAAATGAAGTCAGAAGTACTTAATTTGTGCTGATAAACCTATTATTACAAGCAGTATCGTAAATCCATGGAAAACTACAAAGTCTATTTTCTAAATAATTATAAAAAGATATACCTACCTTCTTTGGAACCATTTTGAAACAAACTTCCCGCCAAAATAAAAACGCTTTACCAACGTATTCACATATTTTACAATTTTAAATTCGAGGTTGAAAAAGATCTTAATACATTTTAATTCACAATAAACACAGAGGAATCCAAGTTTTGCAAATGAACAAACTCTTAGAACAAACATATTATTTTTGTCTTTTATACCCATACAGCCTAAAATAAGTTTTGACTTTTTGGAACGTAGATAAATGCAGCAATTACTTTCTTAAAAGAAGAAATAAAACAATTCATTGAGTCTTACTTTTTCACAATAATTAATAATTCAAAAAACGCAACTTCGTCCAATCGAATTTCCCGCCGTTTTTGTGTGCATGTACATATAAAATATTAATTGTAAAAATATATCAGGTCAGTAGGCCCCTGGCCTAATAATAATTTGTCACGTCATGGGATGCCGATTGCCGAGCGAAATTCGAGATTTAATATCACTTAAAATTTTGTTAAAGTTGACCAGCATTAAACGAACATATCAATGACGTCATACCCTAATGGCGCATTTACACCAAGTCGTCAGGCGACCTTCGCTTGCGCGTCGAAGTCGGCTATCTACGACGGTAGTTTGCAACCGAAGCGACTAGATGTTTCGCCTTCAGCAATGCGAAATAGTCTGCGAAGGAGGCAGACGACTCGGCGCAAATGGCGAGTCAACTACGTCGCCGCCTAGCGCCTTCGGCAGGCGAAGTAACTGCCGAAGGTTGACATACAACCCGGTGTAAATGCGCCATAACGATACAATCTGTGTATCATAACCGTGGGAATAGACTATGGACATTCTTCCAAAATTGTAACGTACTAAAATTAAAAAATATTTTTTGTTCCGCTATAGAGTAAATTTGGCTAGTAAGAGTCACTATGAGGTGATTAAAAATGTTCGTCTACGATAGAATTTTTACACAGACGTTTTCCCATCTAACAATATCAACAATAATTGGGTTTTTGTGGTGCCTAAAAGCTTAATCATTTTAACAAAATATCAATTAGAGAAAACAAGTTAGTGGGATAATGACCTGATTTACGTTTATTTTATAGCAATCCGAACGAACAAAAAAGATTTAGTGCATGTCTATGGTTGACGCCTTGACGCTAGAGTTGATGGATTTTCCTATGATTTTTATTAAAAAATTTTACACTATTATCGTCTTATCTAAGTGGCGAAAAGCTATTGAAGAGTAATCAATAATATATATTTGCGAATGTTTTGATTTGGAGCGAATCCCGGAATCGTGTACTCATCAAATGCATAACTATTATGCGTCTGATAACATTCTGCATGTGCGTGAAAGAAATGTCAGAAAATAAAATAGTAGATAGATACGTAATTTGTAGCTGTTTTGACAATGTGATGCCCAACGAGGGTAAGAAGTAATTCTTCAATTACGAGTGCAGTGAACAAAGTATCAATTTTGTGGTAATGAAACGAACAAAAGTATAGTGTCGGTTTCCAGTTTTTGACAGCCGGCAGGCTCGTCGTGTGGCTTTCGATCGGGCTCCAATAAAAATGAACAGTCGCAGTAGCGTAAATGAAACGAATTTGGTGAATTTCTCAGCGGATTTGGCGCTTAGTCAGTTAGATTCCAAGGACGGCTTGCTGAGTTTTCCATTTGACCACATTTATGCATGTCACTCAGAGAGTTCCGATCGCAGACAAACGCTACAACTGGACAAGGAGGTGGAGATATCCACGCATTGTGTGGTGGGCGAGGAGAAGGAAGTTGTACTGAGCTCAAGCACAGAACTTAGCAGGATTACAGATCGACTTAGAACCTTAGAGACACAAAACAAGAAATTAAAAGATCTTCTTGTATATCATCTAGATTTGATCCAACAACAAAATGAGCTGATAACTAAAAGGGAGAAGCTATATCAAGCACTAAAACAGGAAAATGATTTTGTAAGTCTCACATTATTATCTAAACTCCTACTGTTTTTAAAAAAACTGTTCGGCTGTGCTCGAGTGTAGCTCATTACAAACTATTAAAGAATAGTCTTATTTTAGAATACAATATTGTTATTGAAATATTATGCACTCTAAAGCTCATTTTGCACTAATAACTAAAATTGAGAAACTACATGATTATTTGTAAGATTCTAACAACCTCGCAGGACTACATTACTAATGTCTTAAACAACAAATTTTGTTTCATGACTTTAGTAACGCATCATATTTACTTTTATACAAAAATGAAAATATTTCAATAGATTGCTCTAAACAGTGATAAATAACTCTGTGTGGGGTGGTGATTGTTAGGTAGGATGCTTACATGTTTGAACTTACTACTTTACTACTAATTACAGATGTAAAAAGTGTCAGATATTACAAAAAAAGGTTAAAAGTTTGTAAATGGTAAATTTATTATGTCTTGTAAAATGTCATGGAACAAAACTTTTTGTTTATGATGTTAATAATAGTTTTGTGAGATTGTTAGTGTTTTACAAATGACCCTGTATATAAACATTGAAAATGTGTGATTGTACTTACAATTGCTAATGTTTTAGTATGTGCTATGTGGTTTTGATTTGATTTTTATTAAAAATTTTTGCTTGCATGCAGTTTGTGTGTAGTGCAAATTATGAAGCAGTAGTCTAAATTAGGATACAATGAGTTACTCAGTACTTTATTGAAGCTATTGTGATGTATGACATTCATAAATGCAGTATAATACACAGGATGAAAATTTCAGATTGCATTGTGAATTTCTTTTATAACTGATTAAAATTGTGGCAGTTTTGAATGATTGTGTTGTACATTTTTAAGCTGTGCGAAGCAACATTACCAGTGTTTTGTGCTATGGCAGTCATACCTAAGTCGAAAAGTGATTGTTATTTATATATATTATTATTATCTATTTAAAGTTATCACAATAATGTTGCAAATTACATCTTAATCCAAATTGGCTTTGGTACAACATAACCTTAAAATTCATTCATTTTTTTTTCTGAAAGTTTAAAATGATCCATCTTGGTATGTTATAAAAAAAAATTGCTATATTAATAACAAAGAATAAAAAAAATATTGTAGACTTGTAATAATTTAAATATTTAAAATGAGAAATTTTAAGAGACGTCTTGCCTAGTGAATTTTGTACACTACTTTAGTACAATACTTCTTAATGCCTATGTAGCCTGACTGCCATGCAGATCCCGGGTGCGATTCCCAGGCCGGGAGAAATATTTGTATCACCATATTTTTTTCTATTGTGAATTTTGTGGTTGTCTGTGTCCATGACATCCACGATACTGGGTTTCCCTAGTGTGCCGGGCTATGTGAGTGTGCATTAAAAAATAATGCTGTGCAGAATAATGTTACAATTATGGACAATCAATATAGTTAGTCAGTTAAAATGTTGGTAAATTTACTCATCTATTGGCTGTATATAAAGAAAAGTTTTCATATTATTGTACAATGTTTAGTGTGTGTACTGCGAGCATACTTAATAACAAAATAAAGTTTATGCAGCTTCAAACCTTTAGATGGGTTTATGGATTTGATGAAAAATATACAAAAAGATTGGTGTTGTACTGTACAGTTGCAAAGTTTCTAGTATTATTATAATTTAAGAAACTAACTATGGTTAATTGACTAACCCGTTTCCTAATCTGATTACCAGTACCAAAAATATATACAAACTTCTTAGCATGATATATAGCTGTGCCGTGTTATCCAACAGTTCTCACTGCTGATCATAGGTTTATTCCATGGGAAGGGACTAACCGATACTGTTCTCCTTATCATAACTAAAGTATTCAACATTTTTAGCGTAATTCAGTTATTAACATGTCTGTAAACAGAAAAACGATTGTAGATCTCGTTTTTCCCCTATATTTAATTTCAGTTTTATTGTCAAGTAAAACTGTAATTGATAATATTTGTGCCAATACCTTGAAAGTTACCAAAATGCAAATCCGTTAGTTATAACAAGGAGGACAGTATGAGCTAGTATACTGGCCTAGCATAGCTGAGAACCGCGCGATTGCCTTTGTCATTAAAATGCTTAAAGCTGTTATTGTAAACCAGAATACTGATTTGGATTTTTGACAGTGTCTTAGTTTACTGCACCAGCAAGTGAGAATTAGCACTACTATAGATGCAAAACTTTTGGGAGCAAACAAACCTACCATCTTTTGCTTTTAAGCTGCGCGTTGTGTGACTGGGCTAGCTGATGTTTTTCTTTTTTATTGCTTATTTGACACCATATTCATTGACAAAAGTAAAGAATAAAATGTAAATTTTCAGCTTAAAGCAAAAGTGTCCCGTACAGAAAGAAGAGTCACATTAAATCAGAGGACATTTGTGACCCCTCCAACACCTTTGGTACATGTGCCAAGTAGTAGCGTTACGTCTACAGTTGTCAAGAGTGAACCAGGACCTGCCTCGCAGGTTAGTGAGTTATATAGTTAGAAATCAATGTGTGGCGAGTGTACCAATTCTGATACATCTTCATGCATAGTTTGCTCAATATTAATAACAAACAATTAAATGACTGGATGCCTTAAATATTACTAGATGCTTAAAAAGCCATGATAGCAATTATAACTTCTGGTATAATTAGTACATCTAGAGTACCATTGTTTCATCTACTGCCATATTAGGCTCTATAGTGTCTATATGCAACTACAAAATTTGGATTTTTTTTACAGATAATGCTGAATAGTTTTACAGAGCTGCTCTTGCCAGATAGATCTAACTCATACATTTTCGATAGTGACCTAAACAAAAAGCCTTTTGGTCAGGACACATTTGATTTAGCTGGAACAACTGAGACAGGTAGATTTAACTTATTGACGTTCTGTTAATAGTTCTTATGAGTTATATTGAAGTAGGAAAACATTTTATTTCTTCAAATCAGCATGGTATAAGGTATACTTTTTAAAGACAAAACTATTATGGAAACCCAACCGATTTAGTAGTGATAAATTACTAAGTGAAGTAAAATATCTTTCACTGTTCCAGATGTGTCAAGTCATTTGTCTAGTGATCTGGGGATACCATCGCTTTTAGACAGGAATTTAAACTGTGACAATTTCACAATGATTGAAAATAAACGTTCATATATGAAGAAAGATACCATGAAGACTGATAACTGTTCGGAAGCTTTGTACACGGTTACATCAAATAGGTAAGTTTTATTGTTAGATTTTGTGTAGTGTAATGTATTATCTGCATTTATAAAGTATAAAAAAAATACAAATATGAAAACGAGGGCTGAAATTTCTTATAATTCATGGACTTTATGATTTTATTTTAATATTTTGTATTTTTTTGTAGTGGAAATCCTGTGATCCAAAGAATACAAAGAAATAGGCGGAGAACTACTACATCGCTTGGCAGTTTAAGCCGAATGTCAAAACCGGCAGTAACAAAGTTGGATATCCCTGACAGCTCGAAAATATTTGATGATGATAAGAGCGTATATGATCGATTCAGTGTCAATAGAAAATCAAAAATGATAAACACCTATGGCAAATCCAGGAGCAGTTTTAATACAAAACGAACTACGCAATTCACAGGCTCACTGTCAGATAGATTGCAGTTGATAGATACTACACCCACGGGGGAGGATCCATACCAGTTAGGTGAAGCTGACATGAGAGAACAATCGCCAATCCCTAAGTTGATGCTGCAGAAAACTAATCACGGGAGGATGAAAATATGCACTGAGACTTCTGAAAGTGCTAATACGGCAAGGCGAATCCTTAATTCCATGGCAGATACAGGCCCAAAACTATCAAATAAGATAAAATTGTCGACAAGTCATCATGATAGGTATAACTTGACAAATCCGTATATGCACCCATCCGAGATTAAAACGGAATCACCACCGCCGCCGAAGACTATGATTGTTGAAGAACCTGACTTGGACATTGTGAAGACGGAAACTGAAATTGATTGGAGAATGTATAATCCAAATAAACCGGGGAATGAGACAAGCTTATGCGATTTTTCTTACGGCGAAACACCAAGCAATTTGGCTAGTAATATATTGCCTACTTTGGATGCTGTGGAATTTCAAGACCTATTTTCATCTGATTCTTCGATAAATTTGGGACCTTTGACCACGGAGGAATTTGGAATATCATCAGATACCAGCACACTCGATAAATCTAAAAAACGAGTAGCGCGCACGTCTAGTCTAATCGGACCTCACTTTGGGGGAATAAGACCTCACTTTGGGGGAGTAAGTATTTCATTCTTATTCCAAGTCATTAATGAAAACGTCAGCTTTGCGAAATTCGTCTGAACTTGCAAAGCGAAATAATTTTATATTTCTTTATGCAATTTTTTTTTTATTGTGAAACTTATTATAATATTGCTCGTTATTTTAGGATGATACTGCAGATATCAAACATGTAGACGACAGCAAACGTGGTAGAAAACGTGCGCTTTCAACTACGGGTCTACTGAAAACTTTAAAATCGAACTGTCAGAAAGGAGGAGTGTCCAAACCAAAACAGACTAAAGGGAAAGGTGAGGTAGATTTAGTTTGTTTCTGAAGTAATCTTTTTTTTTTATTACCAATGCTCCGACCGTTCACATAAAACATCCTAAGCAGCCTTTCATATTTCCGACATTCTTCCAGCTACATGCCGCGGGAAAAAGTCTCCTCTTCCAGGAATGGTAACCAAAAAGCCATATCACACTTTGGTGGGCGACCCAGATTTGTCTTGGTACCTAGGTCTAGATCCTGACGTCAAAATGGAAGACATGGAATCGGCAGGCGTTTGTAAAGTTTCCACGGTGGAGGTACAGTTTTTTAAATAATTCGCTTGAATTCAATTTAATTTAATGAATTTTCAATGATGGTTTTATCATATATGTTATCAGGTACCGCGTTGGCGAGAAAAACCTTACTCGAGTTGTTACACGCTTGAAGGAACAGAAAATTTAGATGATAAAATATTTGAAAAGAGGCATCAGAAATTGGAGGCTGAAGAACGAAGGCAACTCAGGTACGACAGAAAGTTGCATCCTTGTGGCACACGGCGACAAAAACTCTTCTTACTGGTTTTACACATTGCGCGTCGTGTGGTCATTCGTATATATTACAAGAATGAGCAGTCCCTAAACATACATATACATTCTAGGTGGCATATGCGAAGAATTCGCGAGCAGCGACACGTTGAACGGCTACGACAGCGGCAGCGCGACACGTGGTATAGCGGCGGTAATTCGCCGGCGCACTCACAGCCCTCCATATTCACCGTTTGGCCGCAACCGCAGCGTGACGTGCGCTTTATCGAGATTACCGACGTATTGCCTGTCACAGCTTTCGGCGAAATTTTACCCGCGTTGCCAGAATCGTAAGTATTGAACATTAATGAATGTAATAGTACATTATTGCAAAGGCGGGCAAGGAAAGGATTGCCGAACAAGTATGAGTTACGCAATCACCTTTCCCGCCGAGGTATATGTAGAGCTTTTCTCGAACAATGCAAGGAAATAAAAATACAAAAAAATATAAATAACAAAAAAGAATTTTAAATACATACTTTCGTTTATTTTGCCACCTTTTTAGCCTTGTTTAAAGGATAAAACGCTGTCTAGGTATATTCGTGCATAATAATATGCTAAATAAGTAACATCCCAAAAAATATATATATTTTTAATTCTCGTAGTTGCGTTTACTGATGTTAGTGAGCAGTTGGCCGTATGACAGTTTTTCTTTAGTCTGGTTATATGGTTACATAGCTCTTACTAGAGCTAGAGTGCAATCTAGATATATTACAATGTTTAGTCATTTAGAGCAATATACCAAAATGGATTTTTATACTTATTGTCGGCCTGGCCGGCAAAGGTAGCATGCTCCATGAATGACAAACTTTGTGGCGTCTATTTTTTTTTAGTAATGCAAACATATACGAGAAAAGAAATTTTATTTTTCTTCAACATGCACGAATATTCTTGCACTACGTAATTAAAAAATACAGTAAAATACACGAAAGCACTTTAAAGTTCCTTTTTTTATTTCTTCTTTGTGTTTTTATATTTTTTTCACGAAAACGAGTATTAGGGAGAAGAGCGAAAATACAATAATGGCCTGTAATCGGCTTCATTTAATACAAGAAGCAATATTAGTCATCGAAAATTTGTTTCCGGCTAAGAGCAAACAAAAACACTTTTAATGTAAATAATGTTTTACGTTTTCTATTATACATTTTCTTTCATTCTTTAGTCATTTTCTTGCATTGTTTGACAAAAACACTGTAAATACCCCGGCGGGAACGGGGATTGCCTGACCCGTTTAATACAAGACCTCCTCGCTGCGTTCGGCCTCGTAACTCATATTCGTCCACCAATCCAGGTGTACCTCTGGTAGCTTCCCGGTCTCTGCAATAATTTCCTATATTTTGTCACCGCACACATGTGTGTACCTGTGATATGTATCAATTCAAAGTATCTTCATTTCGTAGGTGAGCAAATTATACTTGAAATCATTGACTTACAATTATATGGACGTCGGGTCCGCGCTAAAAAGTGTCCACACTACAAGTGCGGCGCTAAAATCGTATACAGAGCGCGACACTCCGCTTTAGTCTTCATTTGTTCTACTGACAGCGCGATACTGCGATGACATAACAATTTAAATTTCGAATAGGTTGACTTGGGACATTTTTTTCGTGGTTTTTGTATTAGACCCGTCGTCCATTTATTTGTAAGTCAATGCTTGAAATAGTCAAATTGATTAAATGATAATGAACACTACGCCAACTTTATTTTTTGGCCATTTTCTGTTATTTTTGTAAACAGCCTACTGCGCATAATATTAACAAATAAATATATTTGTTAATATTATGCGCCCCGAATTTTGTGAACAAAAAATCAAGAAACAAAAATCAAAATAAAAACAGAACAGATCCAAAAATTAAGTTGATGTAGTGTTCGTTGGATGTGTCGAAACACTGCTATATATGCGTAAGATTCCACTGAGCAGAATGATAAAGAAACTATGAGTTGCTTTTTTTCCATACTTGTCATACATCAAACTCTGGACCGTATATTCTTTAATTGTAACTCTTAGCCTCATTGATCTATTGCTGGAAATATATAGCAAACCCGAAGAAATCCCGTGCTCAACAGAAGATCTATTGAAAAACATAGACACTTACCTGTACAATTATATAGAATGGGTTCATTCTATATAATGATCATCATGAATCTCATGAAATAAAGTGTATAAGAACAGGCACGTGTCACGTTTTCCATCAAAACAAGAAAAGATACACTAGTATATGAAGAGGCTGTATGGTAAAACCTTTTCCTACCCTAATATATCCGTGAAAACTTATAAAATATCACAGTATAATCGCTGACATGATTTTTTGTCACCTAAGTATACAGAAGCCGTTTGTATATCTTTTGTATTAATTTTGTATAATTTTTTCCACGCTACTTGCACTTTGTATGAAATATTTAAACTGAATAGTGTATGTTCAAAGCGTGTTGACAAAAATGATAGTACCGTTACAGTAATATCGTACCTAAAATTTCAGGGACTTCGTGCTGCCTTGGGTGAGGAGTTCAAAAGCCATGAAGAGATCTAAGAGATCAAAGACATTGCATTAGAGTTTTCAATTTATTATTAAGCTTGCGGTTATTGTTATAGAATTTTTCGCTTTACATGTACTAAATTAAGGATTACAAAGGGTTTGAGTGATGGATATTAGGAAAACATAGACAGTGAATTGTGTTTATTATTTTTAATTAAGGTAATTAATTAACTTTAATGGAATTGTATCACGAAAAAGCTTGTTTACAGTATGTGTTGTTTCGTTTAGTGTAAAATTGTTTGTATCTGCACTATAATAAAACTGATTTTTACTAATCGATTTGCTAAAAATAACAAAAACATATTATACTATGCGTAAGACCTCTTGTTGAAATATAACCTACTCAGGAACATGTAGACCAAAAACAGCATATTTGAGTTATAAAATTGCAGTTTCAAACTTGGGAATAGGATTCTAAAAAAAAAAACCTTTAAAACTTTTCTGAAAAATCAAATAGTTTTTAATTCACAACCAAGAGTACAATTCACTGTTAAGGTTTTTGGTACACAATATCTTGCACCCTGTAATGCCCTGTATGTATACTAGCTGTTAGTTGTAAGAACCTTATAATCTTATAAAATAAATCTGTCACAATGATTTTAGATGAGCTCTTAGAGGCAGTCCTATTACTATAGGACAACAGTGTTGTAGGCCGTGCAAAAGTATGAGGTTATAAATTATTGTGATGCTTAAAACAAAAGCTTTTAGTGGAGTCTCATCTACTCAGTTTATATACTTTCATTAGACCCATATAGAAGTCGTAAATGTAAATAAACTCGTATTTAACCTGTAGAGGAGGATTTATGTAGAGGATTGCTCTTGTATAGCCATAGCTATTCGATAAGAAAGCCCACCGCTAACAGTCTATGGGTGAACAGATATCGTGCCTGTTACGAGTGTGCTACAATCACGGCATTTAATTACAAAATTAAAATAGACCATTTATTCAAAAGTACAATGCAATTTGACGAGTATTTTAATAAGACATATTCCACTCAATAACCTTTTGTTTCTGAGAACAATCTAGTGTAAAGAACAGAATTCAATAAACTTAATTACAAATTTCACGTTTATTATAGAAGCTATACGTTGGGAGTTTCCATTGACTTACAATTATAAAGTCAATGGGAGTTTCGATAAAAATTATCGACTTAATTCTATAACATTTCGCTACTTAAGAACTACGTAAATTGGTCCTAGGGGGCGGTAGGGGCCTCGGAAGCTATTGGGGGGCGTTGATGCTGTCCAGGGGGTGCTACCGCATTTGAAAAAAAACCTGAATTATCTATATAAACTTCACTACACTACATAATAATATATCGTCTGTTTAAAGGTAAAACCACGTAAGTGACATTTTCCACAAAAACTCTTTAATTTATATAGCTATGGTAAGAAAATAACTATTTCTGCACGTGAAACTCAATAACAAAAAAGCTATAAACTTAATAAGAGTTTTATTTGCAGAAAGATGGTGAATTTCTTACAACTGGTACATAATTTGGAGATTTTTTGTGGAAAATATCACATGTGGCTTTACCTTTAAGCAGACGATATATATATATGTAATTCTTTTTCCTTGTGATTTTTTGTGTTAAGTTAATATAAAAAATAGGTGTTTTCAAATACGTTTTGTGGTAGTGGGCGTTGAAATTTTTTTAACTTGCCCAAGTGAAAAGTTGTAATAGTAAATATCACAGCAAAAATAAATTATTCAGTTCAGGCTCTAAATCTGAAATGTTATGTAATAATATATTTATGTTTCTTTACCTTCTGAAGACCGCTTGTTCCATACGATTCAGGTTATCACTGTTTGCAGCCCATTAATGTGACTTATACCTAGTAAAAAGTCAGAAAAACCAATGGATCCCTACCCCGTTCGGAGTATTCAGTTTTAAATATGATAATACTTTTCCCTTGTACTACTTACGTGGTTGCCACTCGTTCGTTCAATCGTCTATATGCGGTGTCTTTTATACTTAGTGTATTGTTTAAGTCCCCGCTTCCAGGGCTCTCTAAATCTATTGATTTGTGATGAACATTTGTTTTTGTAAATATTTGGTTTTGTTTAATATAATGACCTTGGAATGGACTGATAATTGTAAATAATATTGATTTAGGGGTATATGGTATGAATTGTAATGTAATTTTCGGTAATGTGAGCTGGTTGCGTGACATGTGACTCCCAATTTGTTGTTAGGGCCAGATGAGTCGTGTCAAGTTATTAACAGAATAACGTTGGGAAGTTTTATTAACGTGATACTTTTTTCCCTGCTTGAGATAGAGCATTATGTCCCCTCTTACTATAACTCCAAAATGATATATAGGCATTTTTTTTCTTATTGTAACTATGCGCAGGAACTTTACCATTAAGTCCCACTATCACAAGTACCCTTTCAAACTCCTAAAAATCCGGATCACTCCATTCGTATTTCATCCAACCATCCATTCGCACGAAGTGCTTTGCTTCATCTTTCGTGATGCGTATAGAAGGAGTGGAATTCACTATCGGTATTTCCTGAAAGCTACAATTTGAGGCTATTTATGGCTAGAGTGAATAAGCATTTAATAGATATTTGAACGACTGCTTAACATCAGGGACTGGAATCATCTATTCCACATTAAAATGTCTATCGGTTTGCATAAGAATTTTATTCACCAACTTAGAACGAGAAATATCTTGGACATTGTTAAACATCCACCCTTCGCCTCCGGTACGCATAGAACTTGACTAGCTTTAGTGGTAGTGTGTGTAGAATGTAAGTGTTTTTATTAAATTGAGCCTTATTATTTAGTGACAAATTGTCTAGAACCGTTGGTTCCACCGATATACATCCGAGGCCCATCGGGTCAATTGCTTGCTTTGTTGTTCTTGCTTCATCGCTCTTTAAAAAAGTGTGATCGCTGATATTTTGATATGTTTACCACGAATAAAGACGTCGTTCCAACAAACCAGGTTGGGTCTAATTTGAAGGTCGCGTCGTGGAGATCTTTGCAAAACGCCCGAGAATATTAGTGTATGTAGATTTATTTTTACGTGATAATATTGGTTTCGTCTATTTCGTTATAATTATCAGAATGTTGAAATTTGGCAATAACTCGTGACGACGTAGCTCAATGGCGGACGTGGAGTTTTAAATTTGGAATTGCAAATCGTTAATGATTTGTATAATGTTGGTTTTATGAAATGAATGCTTCCGAAAGTAGGAGTTAATAATCTATTCATGTATCTACATTTTCAAGTAAAAAGCAAAACATCTCCAAGTAAAAATCCACAAAAAAAGAACAAGATACAATATTGTCTGCAAGGGGGATATTAACCACACTTTTGATAACTTTTATCTACCTGAAAACTCAGATCTAAAAGAAAAACATAAATCGTAAATAGACATTGTTGTTGTTTTAGAACACTTATTATGTAAATTTCGCTTTGCAATTTGATTTTTGTTTGTAATTAAAACGAGGAACTTTATCCAATGCGTTGTAAATATTGTTTTTTTGCTGTTGAATAATATCTCTTTGAATACGATCCTTATTGGTCGTCTTAATTTAATGACATAGTGAATAGGTATGTATTAGATACATAAGTTGTAATGTAATTAATTATTTAAGCTTTTTGAAGTTGTTTTGTAAGGAAACTTAATTATTATGTTGTTAGTATTTATCACAAGAATGTATGGTTCACATTTTTCATTAATTCTATTTGTTGGCCACACACAGGTGTACTTTATAAATATTAATAACTACATGTAAGTCTTACCAGTGGTCCTGATGTTTAGAATACGGTAAATGTAGATGGCAAGACTGAATATTTACTGTACGTCGTGCAGCGTGAGTAGATTGGTATGGCTACTCGGATATGAGTAAAGGTTTGGGATAGTGAATGAGCCAATCATAAAAATTTGCTGGCTAGTAATGAATAATTTGTAGTTCATTTTTAATAATGCATAGTCACGTAGAAATTACAATAATTGGTTCGTACACGTCGTTGCGAATTTCCATATCTAGTTCTTGTGAAATTTTTATTTAAAAGAGTCGTTGTGATTTACCAGTGCATTAGTTAAAATTGTGGAAAACTTCTTTCGGATGCCTGAAAATAAGTGAGCATTTAATGTTTCCTGTCTGTATGAACACCAGCCATTAACTTGTATTTGCTCTTAGCTTTCTGTCACCGTAAAAAGGTTTGCGATTTTCCGATTTAATAATACTGACCGCAATGTAATTAGTACGAAATTTAAAGATAAAACATACGTCTGCACGTTTCAGATTCGCGCCCTAAGTGGAATGGTATTACGTGTTTTATTATCTTTGCGTCGGTGTTGACGCGTATCGACACATAACCTATTTAATACCTTATATGTTTTCAAATAAGGGTGCGACTCTGAAACGTGCGGATATTATGTACCTTATCCCTCAGCTGCCGAATGAAAAGCAATACGGTGATACACAGTATTTGTCAACTCAAGAATGTCGGTAGAAAGTTGTGACCGTAGCGTAGAAACCACGAACTTATGTATTTTAAGTACCTATTAATTTTACACCGCTTTATATTAAACATGTAGGCTATAGGGGTACCAATAGAAATATACCTCTACAGTGCAGGCGCATTTAGGCCATAGTCGCAGAGTTTATAGATCAACTTTTTGTTCGCCTATGGTGAACCGTTCTTCCTCTTAATGTGTGTTGCTTCGTTCTCAGGTCTAACTTGAATAGAAATAAAACAAGTGAACTTTGTAACGATGGCCGATGACTTATTTGTAAATAATCGAACGGTATTATTTTCTAACAGTTTGACTATACTTTCAGCACTGTTGACTTATCATAAAAATAATAAGATCTCATTAAATTAATATAAATAATGGAAAAGACGCAATTATTGATGCTGTATGTTGATAGAAATCGCTACGTAATGCGTTAGGTACAAGTAGAGATGGGCGTTGAATGGACGGACTAGTTGAGTTCACGTCCAATCGACGTTTCTACGGTGAACCGTTCTTCGATCAACTAGTTGAATTCGTTAACTATAGTAGATTTCGTAGACGGCTAAACGGAGAGTCCACGCGTTAACGCGTTAATCAACGTTCTACGCGTCTAGACGATACGCGAACTTAGTCGAATTATACGTAGACTTACATAAACAAATAATTTTGAACTTTAATTTCAGTACATGTAATTTGTGTTTTGAATATGTGCGATGAAGTGAGATAGGCCTGTTGTATGCTATTTATTATTACACTATGAATTGAAAGTAAATAAAGTAAAAAAATCAGTATGTA